ACCTCTTCCTCTCCTCTTCCTCCTTCAGTTTATTCTCTCCATCCTGCTTGATCTGCTCCTTCTTCATCTCCTCCTGCAGGTTCCTCTTCAGCCGCATCAGCTCCACCACGTCCTTCTCCTCCTTCCTCCGCAACGTCTCCAGCTGCCGCAACTTCTCCTCCTCTTCCTCCAACTTTGCCGTCCGCGCCTTGTGCTCCGCCGCCATCCGCTTCCGCTCCGACTTGAAGTCATGCAGTTCCTCCTCCTTCTTCCTCTTTATGGCTGTCAGCTCCACAAGCTCCGTGTCCACATCGCTGTTCTCGATCTTGGCTTTCACGTCCACTGACGCAACACTTGCATCGGTTCTTGAGCTACTTCTTGCAATGTTTTTAGCAACCATTTGCCCAACATTGGGATAAAGTGAATTTGAAATGATCTTAAAACCATCAAGTTTATCCCCCTGTGGGTCAGTGTTTGTGTTTTTGAGATTGTTCGTAATTTTGGATTCTGAGGTCTTGTTATTTAGGGGCGTGTCGTTGACAGATCTTGTGACCGGTTTTGGTTTAAGTGAGCGATCTACAGAAGGCAGTCCAGGCTGTGACGTCGCATTGGCTGCTTGAGGTGGGATAGAGGCTCCTGATTGGTTGTTCAGTGGTTGTTTTTCATTGGAGGGTTCATCAAAGTCAGGGTAATCAAAATCCACTGAAAAATAAAACTATTTTAAATGATTGACATTGATATAGAGATTAATAGCTATAAAGTGTTGCTGTATTGTAAAGATCACATGCATTATTATGCAAGGATTTGTTTTATTTTCTGTCAGTATCATTCAGTCCAATTTGTAACAAACTTGAAGCTTTGAGAACTGGTTCAGAATCATGGCCCTTAAATGTTACTCGTCAATGAGGACAACCATTCTTGGATTTACTTGTCCTCAAGTTAGTCACAGGCTAGGAGGTGAGGTGAGGTGAAATTGGGTTTAACGTCGCGTCCAAGATTATTGCACTTATATGGCGACAGGCATGTACGTGTGTGTGTTTGTGTGGCTGCTTGTACTAGTCCGGAATGATGCCGATTTATAGTGCTAGCCCACTGAGATACCATGCCGCAGTTTCACATCACTCAGACACAGTATACTGACGCTGAGCCGACCAGTCCTTGTTTTAGCCCCTTAATGCCGAGCGCCAGACAGGGTAACAACAAGTACCATCTTTTAACGTCTTTTGGTATGACGCGGCCGGGGATCGAACCCTGGACCTTCCGCTCTCCGGGCGGACGCTCTACCACTAGACCATGGAGGCGGTCCACAGGTTAGGAGAATGGTGTGAATTTCGAAGACTGGAGTGAGTGAGTGAGTTTGATTTTATGCCGCTTTTAGCAATATTACAGCAATATCACGGCAGGGGACACCAGAAATAGGCTTCACACATTGTACCCATGTCGGGAATCGAACCCGGGTCTTTGGCGTGGTGAACGAACGCTGTAACCACTAGGCTACCCGACCACCCTTCGAAGACTGGAAGTATGGATGACAAACCTGTCGTAATACTTACACTTCTTAGCCTGACATTGATGAAGAATCATTACAAAACTCAACCTTGGCAAATGAAACACTGATTTATGACCTGGAGGGTAACCATGGCAACTGGCATCTCAGGCTAGCAGAATAGCGTGACTAACTTTGCTTAAGAGTCACCACAAAAGGTTGGTCATGTTGGCTATGGAAACACTGACTTAAGACCAGGAAGGTAACCATGGTAACTGGCATCTCGACTCGCAGTATAGCGTGACTAACATTGATAAAGAGTCATCACAAAAGGTTGGTCACGTTGGCAAATGAAACACTGATTTATGACCAGGAGAGTAACCATGGCAACTAGCTGACTAGCGTGTCTGTCGTAGCATGTTGTGGGAAACAAGAGAGTAGGAAACCTCCAGCTTGTGCAGCTGACACGTACACGCAGATGATGTGATGAAGTCCTCGGGGCGGGCGGGGCACAGGATGTGGGGGTTGGTGGTGACGGTGGGGTAGTACAACAGCCACTGCTCATAGCCTCCCTCCAGCACCAGGGGCTCGCTCTTCAGGATCACCGTGGCGTCGTACTGTAGACAGAACACATATATTTATTACCTGCCTGTGAAGAGATCACCATTTACTAAACATACAGCTGTGTGAGACATTGTCCGTGAAGAGTGATTGATTGTTTGTTTGTTGTTTAACGCCGAACTCAGCAATAATTCAGCTATAAGACGGCAGTCCGTAAATAATCGAGTCTGGACCAGACACTCCATCGATTGATATCATGAGCATCGATCCACGCGTCAACCAAGTCAGCGAGCCTGACAACCCGATCTCGTTAGTCGCCTCTTACAACAAGCACAGTCGCCTTTTACGGCATGCATGGGTTGCTGAAGACCTATTCTACCCGGATCTTCACGGGTCTCCATGTAGGTAGTACGTCAGTTAGAACTTACACAAGCAATAAACTGATGCAGCTGCACTGCGCTGAACGGTCTCATTCAAACGGTTCAATAGGCATAGTCTACTCTGGATCTTCACATGCCAGAGATCACCATTTAATTTACATACAGCCGTGTTACACATTGTGTAATACCAAAGCGTGTGCTTATGTACTCTCGGAACACGTTTCACAAACAAATATTGAAAACTCCCAACATCCCTTGGCTTATTAAATGACATTGCAAGTGGAGATGATAGATGACTGAGAGGAGCTTATGCACAGTCGATGACCCCAGCAACCCTGTTGCTAGGCTGACGTCACATTGCATTGTTTTGCCGGTGGATCTTGCAACAAAATTACAGCAAAATATTTACCATGTACCTATCTCACTTCCTGCTGGAATATCAATGAGTGGATCTGATGGTCCCCTAGTTGAGGACTGTCTAGCTACTCCCACCTACCTTGAATAAGGCATCCTTCAGTGTCCTCAGAGTGGGTCTGATGGTCCCCTAGTTGAGGACTGTCTAGCTACTCCCACCTACCTTGAATAAGGCATCCTTCAGTGTCCTCAGAGTGGATCTGATGGTCCCCTAGTTGAGGACTGTCTAGCTACTCCCACCTACCTTGAATAAGGCATCCTTCAGTGTCCTCAGAGTGGATCTGATGGTCCCCTAGTTGAGGACTGTCTAGCTACTCCCACCTACCTTGAATAAGGCATCCTTCAGTGTCCTCAGAGTGGGTCTGATGGTCCCCTAGTTGAGGACTGTCTAGCTACTCCCACCTACCTTGAATAAGGCATCCTTCAGTGTCCTCAGAGTGGATCTGATGGTCCCCTAGTTGAGGACTGTCTAGCTACTCCCACCTACCTTGAATAAGGCATCCTTCAGTGTCCTCAGAGTGGATCTGATGGTCCCCTAGTTGAGGACTGTCTAGCTACTCCCACCTACCTTGAATAAGGCATCCTTCAGTGTCCTCAGAGTGGATCCAATAGTGACCTGTTGTGAGGTAGATCGCCAGTCTAGCAGAATAACATGATCGACTTGACCACGCTTTTTCCATAGCGACCTGGAAGCCTCTGGCAATGCGTTACTGATGTAGTTGACAGTGGTTCTGTTGAAAGATGAGTGAGGTTAATTCAGGATTCATTCCATTTAGCTACAGATGTCTGTATTACTAGTAAGCTAGAATACCATGATTAGAAAAAGTAATGAATACGCATCTGTAATTTGAATGCACACTGACTCTTTTCTGAAATACCCAGGGGAACGGCATACGGGGACATCATCCACTGAAAAAGCAATCTAGATGATTGGTTGGTTGATTGGTTGTTTTACGCTACACTCAGCAATATTCCAGCTATATGACGGCGGTCTGTAAATAATGAAGTCTGGACCAGACAATCCAGTGATTGATATCATGAGCATCGATCCACGCAATTGGGATCGATAACATGCTTCAACCAAGTCCTGGCCACCCGATCCCGTTAGTCACCTCTTACGACCAGCATAGTCACCTTTTACGGCAAGCATGGGTTGCTGAAGACCTATTGTACCCCGGATCTTCACTGGTCCAATCTAGGTTTCTGGCGTGCGAATCACTGCGCCTTAGACTGGGCCACCTGTACCCCCCATTCGGGGATAGAAATTAACCAAGAACATCAACTAGAGATCTAGAATAGAGATAACATACAGCAATACCCCCGAAAAATGATTGAAATTCTTCTAGCCTTAATACACCTGTACCATTAGCGAAACTGGCTCAGTTTAGCAGCCTAGTGTTAATTTCTATCCTTGGTATTGAGAGCTTGTTCAGAATTATAGCCCTCAAATAGATGAGGAATACAATCATCAGATTTTTACTTCCTCAGCATAATTCAGTCTCAGGGAGTAGTGCACTTTACCAGGCGCAATTTTTCAGAACCAATTATCGCTGTGGGGCTCGAACGTGCTCCCTGGCTTGGCTAAACAGTGCACCAATTAGCCAACGCTCTACCACTAGACTAAGAGTGAGTGAGTGAGTGAGTGAGTGAGTTGGGTTTAACGCCGCTTTTAACAGTATTCCAGTCATATCGCGGCGTGTCAGCTTAATGTGGGAGGAAAGCCCGAAGTGATGCAGGTGTCAGACGTTTACCACTTCGGTGAAACCCACGAGCACGGGTATGGTGCTGACAAACCTAGAAACATAATCCGGGCGAACCGGGATTCGCCTGCCATTGTCCTTCAGAATGAGTAACTAATAAAGCGATTAAACATGTTACAACAGACTATGCACTAATAAGATTACACTCATTGGATTATTGGTAACACTGTAAAAAGGTAAAATTTAATGGTTAACCCACCCCCTACCAGGCTAACCCTAAAGATAGAAAAGGTATTGGATCGGAAAGGCATGCCAGCTCCCTAAGATTGTAAAGGGGTGTTGGATCACCAAGGCGTGTCAGTTTCCTAAGAAAGTAGGATAAAAAAGCGGTGTTGGATCGCCAAAGCGTGTCAGTTTCCTAAGAAAGTAAGATCGAAAAGCGGTGTTGGATCGCCAAGGCGTGTCAGTTTCCTAAGAAAGTAGGATCGAAAAGCGGTGTTGGATCCCCAAGTCAAGTCAGTTTCCTAAGAAAGTAAGATCGAAAAGCGGTGTTGGATCGCCAAGGCAAGTCAGTTTCCTAAGAAAGTAAGATCAAAAAGCAGTGTTGGATCGCCAAGGCAAGTCAGTTTCCTAAGAAAGTAAGATCAAAAAGCAGTGTTGGATCGCCAAGGCGTGTCAGTTTCCTAAGAAAGTAGGATCGAAAAGCGGTGTTGGATCTCCAAGGCGTGTCAGTTTCCTAAGAAAGTAAGATCGAAAAGCGGTGTTGGATCGCCAAGGCGTGTCAGTTTCCTAAGAAAGTAGGATCGAAAAGCGGTGTTGGATCTCCAAGGCGTGTCAGTTTCCTAAGAAAGTAAGATCGAAAAGCGGTGTTGGATCGCCAAGGCGTGTGAATTTCCTAAGAAAGTAAGATCGAAAAGCGGTGTTGGATCGCCAAGGTGCGTCAGTTTCCTAAGAAAATAGGATCGAAAAGCGGTGTTGGATCGCCAAGATGCATCAGTTCCAAAACGGGGGCGAGTACATTTGAAAGTGTGCCACACTAATGGTATAGTGAGACAGCGGTAGCGCTATAGTGGGGTAACTGAACTGTCGGTAGAGGGCGAAGCTGCGCCCGATAAAATACCGGATCGCCAAGGTGTGTCAGTTCCGAAACGGGGGCGAGTAGATTTGAGGTTGTGCCACACTAATGGTATAGTGAGACAGCGGTAGCGCTATAGTGGGGTAACTGAACTGTTGGTAGAGGGGAAGCTGCGCCCGGTAAACTACATTGTTGCCCTATCTCGGGACTAACAGACTCGTGTGAATTTCAAAGACTGCAGTAAATAGCTACGATCTGACAGCTACCATACTGATCACCTACCCTGGTTCTAGTATCCGGGCAGGCACACTGACACAGGCCTTGTGGCTGATGTGTGAGTCGGCGTAGTCCTCCTCGGAGCGGACGTCCATCAGAATGAGCTGTGTTTCCCGGTCGTTGAGCAGTGTGAACAGTTCCATCGGGGAGATGCTGCCTGGAGCTGTCACTGGTTGAACTGAAGCCACAAACAAAACATCATCACCATAAACCAGTCCAGCCAAAATATTACTCCAGAGTACCCGCCCAGTTCGTGAAGGCTGGAACCTGGACTGCTACAGTCTTTGTTGTTTAATGCTGCACTCAGCAATATTCCAGCTATATGACGGAGGTCTATAAAATTCGAGTCTGCACCAGACAATCCAATGATTGGTATCATGACCACTGATCCAGGATATGACGACATGCAACCAAGTCAGTGAGCCTGACCACCTGATCCTGTGAGCCACCTCTTACGACGAGCAAAGTCACCTTTTATGACAAGCATGGGTTGCTGAAGACCTATTCTACCCCGGATCTTCACGGGTCTGAAAAACAATAGTATTACAACATTCTGCATCATTACCCAATGTAGCCTCTTCATCTTGCATAAATGTACATCTTTACAGCCCACGTGAAGATTCCGGGTTAGAATTGGTCTTCAGCAACCCATGCTTGTTTGCATGTCATTGTATCACAATTGCATAGAAAGATGCTCATGATGTAAATCACTGGATTGTCTGGTCCAGATTCAATTATTTACCAACCGCTGTCATATAGCTTGAATATTGCTGACTGGAGCATTAAACAAATAAACAAACAAACAAACAAAACACAGGTTGCCGTGGACCTATTCTAATACGGGATCCCAACTGGTTTTGGTGTTGGTGGTTAGTGAACTTCAAGCCACGTACCTGTTGGTGAGCCATTTTCCTTGTCATCCCCTTTCTCCTCATCGGCACCCTTCTCTGCATCTTTCTTCTCCTCTCTCTTCTTCTCATCCAGAGCTTCCAGCTTCTTCGCCACCGCCTCTGCCTCAATAAGGTCATATCTGAAAGAAGCCATGTTGGTCAACGGTATGATTATCATCTCAGGGCTCCAGATAAGCTTTTGGTGTTGTGGGTATTTTACCCATGCATTTTAAAATCATTGGGTATCAGTAATTCTATCTGGGTATTCAAATTTCTGTTACCCACCAGTTTTTACACATGTGGGTATTTAAGTTAAATATTTAAAAACACTTTTCATCTAGTCCCTGCAAACTGGTGTCATGTGGGTTAGAGAGCTTTACAGGACTCACAAATACCACGATACTTCCACAAGAAAGTGTGATGGCAAATGATCATGATGTAACTGTCATTGTGGAGTTTGGCAAGTTGACGGAATGCCTGTTTATAATTTCAAAATAAGTTGCTGATTCGCTAATCGAATAGGCAGGGTTACTTTACAATATTTTGATGATACGCACATGTTATATTTTTGTAGCGTATCTGTAATATTTGTTGCGTATTTGTTGCTTGGATTTTATTTTACTGCGTATTTCTGCATTTCTGATGCATATTTTACGCAGATACGCAGCTTATCTGGAGCTCTGTCATCTTTATGTTTGTTCTTTAACTCAACAACAGCTGCGACAGATTTAACAACAAATTGTACGTAGCCAGCCTATCCTTTGCTTACGCTGTATGCAAAGGTGTATGCGACTCAGTGAAACTGAAAGTAGTCTCTCCTCACTTGAAATATAACCAATGACTCTCGACTGCATTATATCTATGTTTGACTGACTTACAATGTCCCCGACAGTCTCACAATACATGTGACAGTTCGAGTTGTGCAGTGAATACAATCTCACACTTGCGTTCATGTTTTAGGTTACCTTTCTTTCAGGCTCTTGGCCAGCATCTCTGCTCTCTCTATGGCGTGAAGCTGGTTCTTCTTCCCAATAAGGTTGTCAAAGTACTCCTGAAACAACACCGGCACGAATTAGGTTGATGAAGTGAGGTGAAATGGGGTTTAACGTCGCGTCCAAGATTATTGCACTTATATAGCGACGTGCATGCACGTGTGTGTGTGTGTCTGCTTGTACTAATCCGGACTGATGCCGATTTATAGTGCTAGCCCACTGAAATACCATGCAACAGTTTAACATGAATATCCACTCAGACACAGTATACTAACTCCAAGAGGACCAGTCCTTGTTTTAACTACTTAAAGCCGAGCGCTGGGCAGGGTAACACCAAGTACAATCTTTTAACGTGTGTTGGAATGACAGACAGGACTGAACCCCGGACTTCCGGTCTCCTGGCGGATGCTCTTCGTCTAGACCATAGGAGCAGTTTCTAAACACATGATCCTGGACCAGACTTCCAGTGGTTGAGTGAGTGAGTGAGTATGATTTTACGCCGTTTTTAGCAATATTCCAGCAATATCACGGCGGGGGACACAAGAAATGGGCTTCACACATTGTACCCATGTCAGGAATCGAACCCGGGTCTTCGGCGTGACGAGCGAACGCTTTAACCACTAGGCTACCCGACCGCCCCGCAGAAATCTGTGAAATCTATTTTCATGGGTGCCACAAGGCACTTGCAAACAAAATGAAATGGAAATGAAGGAAGAATACTCCTGATCTATCTTCCTACCAGGTGAATGGCTTTTCTCAAGTCGCTAGATAACAAGTTGTTGTTATCTCCTGTCTTTTCATTGACAACATCAAATTATATTTTTTAATCCCAGATTTATTTTAGGAATCATACTACATACGTTGTCAGCAGCAAAAACATGGACCCAAGGCCACGACCCCTGAGGTGATCTGACCGGACAGAGGATCAACCAATGGAATTGAACGATTCTTGATAAAGGTGTAACAATGTGCATTAACATGACTAAGCGTGTTTCTTAGGGCTGGGACGAGTCCAAATTTACTACCCGGGTACCCACACCCCTATTACCCGACACTACCCGGGTACCTGCTGTTGGTGTCAAGAGATAGGTACAAAATGTCCGATTGGGAATAGTTTGACAGTAGCCCTGGCAGACTGTTTTTAGATACATGTATAAAACGATGTGGTCATGCATACACTGAAGTTGATAGGTTTTAGCTTTGTTCAAACATATTTGTTCGAAGGAACGTGTTCATAGTCATGAAGAAATGCGAACATTAGAGACTTAAAATTGTCGTGTAACCATTTAGTTATGTAGTGATTTTTTGTCATGACATAATATATCACGTGACTAACCGGGTAGTCCTGTGGGTAACCGGGTCCTACTCAGTACCCACCCGACCCGGGTACCCGAGTTACCCGTCCCAGCCCAAGTGTTTCAATATTTATTTTCTACACTAGCTTCGTATAATATACACATCACAAGGTATTCTGTTAAAAAGACAAGATTTTTAACTTAAGGCACCAAAACTTTCTTCAAGTTCAACTGAGCCTTTACGATTGGGTTATGATGAGGTTCAATCAGCGAGGTTCTACATTGTGACCACTATATGGCTTAAAAAAAAAAGAAGTCTTGGTTCTTAGGCACCGCACGCATCATCATAGAGTCTGCTGCACATTTCGTATTTATTTCCATTATAAAAAAAAATAATCCTCATACTTAAAAACAGTGTGATCCAATATAGCATGCAGTTACCTCCATTTACATGTGCAGTGCTTTACTGCGCATCTCGTGTTATGGTCATGGTGGCAATAGGAGTTTGTATGGAAGGCAATTTCCCAGGTTGATGGTACATAATTGTTTATTTGGTTACATACTAGTCTATACAAGCAAAATGTAGGAAAGCAATTTCCCAGGTTGATGGTACATAATTGTTTATTTGGTTACATACTAGTCTGAACAAGCCAAAAAAAAAGAACAAGAAAAAAACAACCAAAAAACCCACCCGCCTGCTCTCTATTTTCAAAAGTCATTGCCTGAGAACCAGTTCTTTTATTGTTTTAAGCCTATCCTTATTAGTAATCCCTCACAACAAGAGTTGTCTCCCCGTATCCTGTATCCTGCCCTGGCATCCCACTAGGTGGCAGGAATTAATTATGTTGTATATTGTTTTGAGGCAGTAGATATTGAAAGTTTATTGTGTGCTAAATATGAGTGACAGCAAATTGACTGAGGGGCTTGTAAAATATTGAGTGTTGTGGCGTCCTATCTGCACCTGAAGTGTGAGTTAGAGTTACCTCCCTTTGTTGTTGTCACCACACAGGATAGACCACACCGTTTGAGAAGTTTTGTGATGTGACAGGTATCTGTAAGACTGGCTGTGCCTTTTAAGAATTATTCAAGGCCTCTTATAACCAGACTTGTGTCTTCTACTTGGCAAGAGATGGACATGATACCTGTAAACACTGTATTCCTGCCAGTGTCCAACACTATTCCTGAATCGAGAACGGAACATCTGTTTCGTTCAAGACAAGTGGCTTAATTCTGGATATTTGTGAGTGCACACATGTTTACTTATTGCTGCTGCCACTAGCTTGACCCCATTGTATTTCCTACAGTCAAGTCTCGTTAATCCGACACTCGTTAATCTGACAATCGGCTTTATCCAACACAAATGATGGGAACTGATTTAATCAGTGCTATTTAGACCCGTTACTCCGACAGTCTCGCACTCCGACTCCGACACACCTAATTTGCAACAAAATGCTGAAATCCCTCAATAATCAGTCTCCTTAATCCGACACATTTCCTTTTTTATTGTAAACCTAAAACTGTGTGTTTCAATAGTACTTGTTTATTCGTTGATCTGGTATAGTTATTTACTGATTTCACAATTTAGTTCTGTATGAGGGGCGGTCGGGTAGCCTGGTGGTTAAAGCGTTCGCTCGTCACGCCGAAGACCCGGCTCCGATTCCCGATATGGGTACAATGTGTGAAGCCCATTTCTGGTGTCCCCCGCCGTGATATTGCTGGAATATTGCTAAAAGCGGCGTAAAATCATACTCACTCACTCACTCACTCACTAGTTCTGTATGAACCACTTCCTGGGTTAACCTCTGCGTTTCATTATGAAATCACCTGGTAACACCTGTTGCTGTTTACCTTTTGTTTGATGTACTCAGCCTTCTTCTTGGCAATCTGTATGACATTGAAGTACCGCATGTACAGGACGAAAGCTCGCTCTTCGTCCGAGAGTTCATCTTGGTGCACAGCTTCACGAAATGTCTTGTCTGCAGACTTAATGATGCTGAAAATATAGATCACAGCTTCAGTTTGATGAATACTTATAAGTCATGGGTTACCCAGTCATCTGTGAAGCAGTTAGCTGTGCAGAGTTGTCTCCCTTGGGAACGCCAGAAACCTATGATTGAGGGTTCGAATCCCATTTTGCCTTGAATATGTTTTACATACCCCCAGCGTACCATCAACTCATCAAAGACCCAAATCAGCCATAATCCCGTTGTTTATATTACTGGCTTCGTCCTTTGTTTATGTCACTGACTGCACCGATGATTGTCATCACTACCCTTGTGTATACACAACAGGCTTCTCTACCCCAGTATAACAATATCTACTCTACACTATAAACATTGTCTCCTACGTGTATATATACTTGCCTACTACACTCTGTATATCAGTTGCAGTTTGTACTCCAAGCGAGCAACACCTCCCAAGCCAGCACAGAGCACTGCCTGATAGCCAGCCAAGGAGAAATCCATCATCGGTAATTATCACGTTATCCTTTCAGCCTTATTCACATACTCTTAAAATCACTCTCATCGTTTGTTTGTTTGTTGTTTAACGCCGAACCTAGCAATATTCCAGCTATAGGACAGCGGTCTGTAAATAATCGAGTCTTGGCCAAGCGAGCAACACTTCCCAAGCCAGCACAGAGCATTGCCTGATAGCCAGCCAAGGAAACTCCATCATCGGTAATTATCACGTTATTCTTTCATCCTTATTCACATACATCACTCTCACCGAATTAATCACAAAACCCCTAAATCCTTAAAACCAACAACAACACTCAACTCTTATAAATAACCAACACCTTATCCTCCCCCATCTCCCTAACACAGCTCGCACTCATTTCTACTCGCTACCCACGCCCACCACTCAAACACACCCTTTGACCCAACTCCTAAAAACAAAAAAACACCTAATCCCCCCTTCTCCTTAACACAACGCACGCTCTTTCCTACTCACCACCCACGCCCACCACTCACATACCTCCACTCCTTCGACTAAATATCTCCTGATCCCCGCTTTCCACTTGTCTCACCTAATCCCAGCCTTCCAGCAACAAAATAAATCTTTAATAATTAATCCATTTCACAAACCCTCCTACTAAAACCAACAACAAATAACCACCGCAACCTCCTCCGCCTCCTAAACACAACTCACCAAGTAAAAACAACAAACCAACTCACCTCCCCAAAACACCACTCCCACTCCACCACCACTCACCACAACACACGCTCTCCAACTCTCCAAACAACATGACTGACACCCGCAACGCCACACTCGCAGACATGCCAGCTCCTAACTCACCCACGCCTGCGGAAGCGCACAACACTTCCGGGAGGTCACTCGAAAACATCGTCCCGACCGAGTATGGCGAAAACACGACACTAACCACCCCCACCAAACCAGCTAACTCGCCACCTCAAAACACCAAAAAACGCAAACTCGACACATCCACTCCACCTCCATCGCCCACACCCTCCCCGGCCACCTTCCTCACGACCTTCGCCCTCTACTTCTTCTCAGCAGGCTCAGGCACCACTCTCTCACTAGAACTTTCGGCAGATAAAATAGGACTTTGGTTTAAAAGAGAAAAAATAAATTACAACAATATTAAAAAAGCCAACAAAGGATACCAGATAATCTTCCCTAACCGAGAATCTTACAACGCAGCAAATAAAATAACTCAAATATTCCACGTCACAGTAATCAAACAAACACCTAATTGGCAACAATATACACGAGGCGTAATTAGGGTTAACCCAAGGGAAACAACTGAGGACTTACAATTATACTCTCTAGAAGCTAACATAAACCAAGACCAAAACCCTCAACCCCTAATCACCAGCACGCGTAGAATAACCTCAACTAGAAACGGAAAAACGGTCCCAACCTCCATTGTCATAATCAACTTCAAAAAGACCGCTAAATTCCCTGAAGCCCCCAAACACATATCCTTCGGAGCCCACACCAACTTAGAAGTCAAACCCTATATAAAGCAGGTTAAGCAATGTACAAAGTGCCTCAAATACAACCACACTGCCTCCCAATGCACATACCGTAAAACTAAATGTAAAAAATGCGCACAAACAGACTGCCCAGGCACATGCACACCCTGGTGCATCCACTGCAAATCCACCCAACACACTTCACTCTCAAACCAATGCCCATACAGACATACACACTCACCCAGCAGGCCAACAAACACATAAACATAGACACGGCTAAAATCCAAACACGAAAATTTGCTACACCTGCATCTAAACCACTCCTCCCTACACCACACCCAAACACCATCCCACAAACAAACACCACAGCCATAACCGACAGCTCTGTCTGGGGCCCCTACCGAGAAACCGCACCCACCTCACACATACAAGCAGCCACTCAACCAACCTCGAACCCTCCCACATCTCACATAGCCAAAACATCAACCCCCGCATGCAAAACAAACCTCAAAATGACCACCACAACACGACCCTCATCCAAGCACCCTACAGCCCATATGGTAACAACGCTCTCCCACAAGCAAGCACAACAACAAAACACAAACACTATGAAATCATCAGCTACACCCATCCCACAAACACCTTCACAATCCTCCACATCACATGCCTCCCCCATGGAAACTCAATCAGCTAAACCTAATCTAACCGATGAAGAAGATTTCTCCACTTCTGAGGAAACAATAGACACTACTCCAACTAAAACAAACCAAACTCCCCAACCAGCCAACACCCAAAACCTAAACAACCTCACCTTACTCCTAGCATACATGCATAGTCAAAACTCACCAAAAGCTAGCATGAAATCCTTCTACAAAGTAGCTTTCAATCTAAAATTAACCGATCTTCCCTTCTTCCTCTTTAACCTCCATCTAAAAGAACTCACCGAATAAAATAAAAAATAAAAAATAAATCACCAATCACCCGAACCCAATATTCGAAGGACTAAATATTTTTCAGTGGAACGCCAACGGACTCACCTCCCACGGCCATGAACTAAAAACTAAATTTAAACTAAATAAAGGCCCTCACATTGCTTGTATACAGGAAACCAAATTCCAAAAAAAATCCAAATTCACACTACCTAACTACAACTCAGTTAGAACTGACAGAGCTAAACCGAAAACAAGAAGAGCCGCAGGAGGACTAATCATATTTATCAGGGAAGATATAAATTACGAAGAAATAAAAATAGACACGCCAAACCTAGAAGCCAACGGCATTCAAATCACATTAAATAACCGAAACATAAACATCATAAATATTTACCACTGGGCGGAACAAAAAGTCCAACCTGAGGATCTAAACAAACTACTCCATATAAGCGATAAATCTACTATATTCCTAGGAGACTTTAACGCTCACCATCCTACATGGAGCATAGATGATAAAATAGATAATCATGGCAAATTAATCTCCGAATGGATAGAAACAAACGACCTAGTACTCCTTAATAGCAACCAACCCACGAGGTACGATAAGATAAACCAAAAAATGTCGGCTATCGACCTAACCATTTGCACCGCAGATCTAGCCCAAAGTACTCAATGGGAAGTGCACGACGTCCCGCTAGGTAGTGACCACTTCCCCATAAACATAACCATAGGAAATACAAACGTACCAATCCAAACAGAAAACCAAGAACCAAAATTCCATTACAATAAAGCTAACTGGGACCAATTCCAAGATATCTGCAACGAAGCTAACTTAAACGAAATAGAAAATAATGATCCAGAAACCTATTGTAAAAACCTAACAGACTATATAATAAACGCAGCCAAAACCTCCATCCCCTTCAAAACATCTAAGACAGGCAAACCGACGGTACCATGGTGGAATGAGGAAATAGAACAGACTAGACGAAAACGTAAATCAGCCTTCAATAAAGCAAAACGCGACTACAAATATTTAAACATAGCCCACGAACTAAACCACCAGGTTCAAAAACTAGTCCAAATAGCCAAAAGTAGAGACTGGAAAAAATTCTGCGAAGGGATAAATAACCGTACAGATGCCAGAACGGTCTGGCGCAAAATCCACGCCATCAGAGGCTTAAAACGACATAAAAAAACCCCTAACATTGACAACTCAACCAACCCCGCCCAAAAAGCAAATAATCTCGCCAACCACTTTTCGGCCGTTAGCAGTAACACCAACTTCAGTAAAAAATTCCAAGATAAACTTAAAACAGAAAACAAACCCACAAAAGAACCAAACAATAACAATCTAGAAATAAATCAACCCTACACAATGGAGGAGCTCCTCTACGTAATCCAAAACAGGAAAAAGGGCACAGCCCCAGGATTAGACCTAACTTCTTACCAAATAATTAAAAAACTCCCCCTAAAACTACTCCAGGCACTACTCAAACTATACAATCTCATCTACCTAAACGGACAGGTTCCTACTCCCTGGAAACAGGCCCTAGTCATACCAATCCCTAAACCTAATAAACCAGCTAATCAAGCTAACTCATATAGACCAATATCCCTAACTTCAAACTTATGTAAAGTAATGGAATCAATGGCTAAAAATAGATTACAACATTACTTAACCCAAAATAACATCATAAACCCAGATCAAAGCGGTTTCACTCCTGGCCGCTCAACCCTAGATAACCTCGCCCGACTAGAACAAGATATTAAGACAGGACAGCTAAATAAACAATATACCACAGGCATCTTCTTAGACTTCTCTAAAGCTTTCGACATGGTATGGCACGATGGGCTAATACAAAAACTTAAAAAAATAGGACTCAAAGGTCAGATAATAAACTACATCCAGGACTTCCTAAACAATCGTAAAATAACCGTGGGTATAGACCAAACTCTATCGGACCAATGTCCCCTAGAAAATGGTACTCCACAGGGCAGTATCCTCAGCCCCACCCTCTTCAATATAATGATAAACGATCTATTCGAGGGCCTATCCCCTAAAGTAAACACATCAAAATTCGCGGATGATGGAGCCATCTGGATCCGCACTAAAAGCATGAACATGGTCCAAAATTTACTCCAAAAATCTCTTAATAAAATACAACAATGGGCTGACAAATGGGGCTTCTCCCTTAACTTAGAAAAAACAACAGGAATAGTATTCAAACATAAAAACATGAAACCCGCCTCCCCAATCCTCCAGCTAAACAATCAAACAAACAAATTTCAAAAACAAACCAAATTCTTAGGACTTATTTTCGATGAACATCTCACCTGGGATGCTCACATCCAAAACCTAACAACTAAATGCAGTAAAGACCTAAACACCCTAAGATGCCTAACTGGCTCTAACTGGGGAGCATCCAAAGATACCCTCCTCTCTCTCTACATATCACTAATTAGATCAAAACTAGACTACGGCTGCGCCATATACAACACCCTAAACAACTCTCTATCTAAAAAACTTGACTCAATACAATATCAGGCTCTCAAACTAATTACACGCACCCAACATGGCACCTCCTACACCTCACTTCAGGCCTTAACAGGAGAAATGCCACTAAGTCTACGCAGGGAACAGCTAAGCTTAAATTTCTGGGCCGCGTCCCAATCAAACCCTCTCATCCAAAACTTAATAAACCAAAACATCAGCCCCAAAAACCAAGCTCTAGCTCGTAAACACCCCTTACTTACCCCAATATCCCAAAGAATAACAAACTACCTAAATGAACACCAAATTAAAAATCTTAAACAAAACTGCAAACAATCAAATATCTTCACCCCTAAACTTAAAATACCCAAAATAGACACAACACTAGCTAGCCAAATAAATAAACAAACTGACCCAAACATAGCTAAAACTACCACACTAGCATACATACACGAAAATTGGCCAAATTGGTGTCACATTTACACGGACGGATCCTCAGATCCGACCTCCAAACACACAGGTTTCGGAGTCCATACCACACAACCAACTAAAACCACACAATCCTTCCGACTCCCAAACAACCAATCAATATTCACGGCAGAACTAATGGGCATGGCCTCAGCCCTCCATAATCAAGAATCCAAAAACCACAAAAAAATCCTAATACTTACCGACTCCCTAAGTGGACTGCAAGCCCTCCAAAACAAAAATTCCAAAAACCGACCTAAATTAATAAATCAAATACTTAAAAGCTCCAACGACCTAACTAAGGCAGGCAAACAAATAACCTTCTTGTGGATACCCGCCCACGTAGGAATATACGGTAATGAAAACGCCGATAAAGCAGCTAAACTATCCCTCAAAATCCCAGAAATAAGCTTAAACTTACCCATCTCAAAATCAGAAATTAAAAGTGTAAACAAGCAAAAAATCACCAAAAAATGGCATAACCTATATCTAAACTCAAATAGCCAAATCAAAAAAGTGCTCAGCAAACCACTAACCAAACCAAAAATTCTCCATCCATCCAAAAAAATCGACAGAGTAATCACTAAACTCCAAACAGGACACACCAACCTAAATAACCACCTAAAAAAAATTAAAAAACACACTACAGGTAACTGCCCACACTGCAAACAACCAGAAACCCCAGAACACGCACTCATCCACTGCACACACTACCTAACACATCGAACCGCATTACAAACCACCCTCAATCTAAACAAGGCTCTAACTCTAGAAGCAATACTAAACCCACAAAATAAACTAGAAAACTTCAAGGCCTTAGGCGTATTCTTAATCAAAACGGAACTAATAAAACGCATCTAAAAACACAATAACTCACCAAATCAAAATCACATAAACAAACAAACATCCACCATACCCAGCTCCCTTAGTTCTCCTCCCCAATCCCATCGGCATCTATTCCAAATCTCAAAATTCCCAAATTCTATATAAGCAACTCCTAAAACCCCCCTCTTGGGTTGCACAGACCACCTTCGCCCCTTTCGGAAACACATTAAATGGCCTGGCCGGGCCCGTGTGCGAAATACGCATCAGTCGGAAAGCGCACGTTAAATCTCCAAAGTAAGTAAGTAAGTAAGTAAGTAACTCTGTATATCACTTGCTTGATAACGGTGTTAGCACCTGCACCGAAACGTCGCTCTTAATTGTAATAAAGAAGTTGTTCATCCATTATTTCATATCCTTACTGTTGAAAACTGATGAAAATAATGGATGATGTTTCAGTAATATACAGCAAGGGGACTAATACCACTTACAAATGGAATGGAACATCAGGAACTGACATGAGTCCATCATATTTTCTGACTACCAGTGACTCTACCCGAGTCCATCATACTTTCTGACTACCGGCGACTCTACCTGAGTCCATCATATTTTCTGACTACCGGCGACTCTACCCGAGTCCATCATATTTTCTGACTACAGGCGACTCTACCCGAGTCCATCATATTTTCTGACTACCAGCAACTCTACCCGAGTCCATCATATTTTCTGACTACCAGCGACTCTACCTGAGTCCATCATATTTTCTGACTACCAGCGACTCTACCCGAGTCCATCATATTTTCTGACTACCAGCGACTCTACCTGAGTCCATCATATTTTCTGACTACCAGCGACTCTACCCGAGTCCATCATATTTTCTGACTACCAGCGACTCTACCTGAGTCCATCATATTTTCTGACTACCAGCGACTCTACCCGAGTCCATCATATTTTCTGACTACCAGTGACTCTCAGGTCTTCACAACTTACATTGTTACATTGTTCCCCAGGTCTTTACACTCGCCCAGCTTGTTGAGGTCGGCCATGTTCTTCCCCAGGTACAGGTCCTTCTTCCTGGGACTTTTCCCTGGCATGGTGGCAGCGTTGTGAGATCGTCAACGTCTTTAACATGAAATCTGAAACACACCACAAAGTTCGCCATTTAGGCAGGTTTCACTGGTCCAACTCTCTAAATGCAGGTTTGTGTGTCTGTTGGTTGTTTTACGCCAGTCAGCAATATTTCAGCAACATCTCAGGGCATGTACATGGTTCCAACAAAACTTGAGTGATCAACTTTAAGGCCTTTGTCAGGCAATTATCACACTTTAATAAAGACTCAAAGAAACACCAAGGAGTAATTTTAAACAGATTTATTAGTATATTCTTAGTACAGTCGTGCCTCGTTTATACGGACACTTGCGTCATTTCACAATTCGTCCGTATAAACAAATTTCCGTATAACTGAAACCAGCTTCTTACTGGAAGAGTTACTTCCCTTCAATTATGCAACTCATGACAGATGACAGAGCAAACAGATACATCCACTCAATCTTTATTCAAGACATACACATTTCAAAAAATCTGTCATGGAAGTTTGCGTGCTGAAACTGCGTGTCGCTTACGTTTCGCTGGTTGACAGGCCATACTCACAGTTTGAAGTCACAACTTTGACCTCTGACCTACTGACCATATTTATCGAATGGGATTACATGTACAATAAACAAGCTCGTCTCAAACGTAACTCAGTGTCACTTGGTTAATTGACTTCTCACGAATCAAAGGATTACCACCAGCGAAAGTGTATTGTCCAGGTAAGTGAGACAATTTTGTTTTAGATGTATATATATATAAAATAATAAAGGGTTTGGGGCTTTTGAGCAACAATCTAGTAAAGTATTACCTCAAGAGAGGTTATCCCAAGAAAATTCTCTTGGACAATGAAACAAAAGCCAACGCTAAAGAGAGAACAACCCTCTTAACACAAAAACAGACACCCTCCAAAGACACAAAACCAGTGATCTTTATCACAGATTACAACCCCACTGCACTCAAGGGTTACCTCCATGATTAAAAAATCACACACAACAGGCAGGAAAAATATAAATGCCATCCGCATTTCACTTGCAAAAGCAGAAACATAATCTACCTGCTTAACTGCACCAAATGTGGCAAACAATACGTAGGTGAGACCAAACGACACTTCTGTATCAGACTCAAAGAACACTTTGCAGATATAAACCACCAAAGGGACAAACCTGTCGCTAAACATTTCAACTCTGTAGGACACTCAACCAGAGACCTACACTATCAAATCATACAACAGCTCAAAACAGAACCTGAGTCAGCTCAGAGCACGGCCAGGCGTCGGTCCATTGAACTTAAATGGATATTTGATCTCAAAACCATCCACCCGCAAGGCATGAACGATAAGATCTAATCCTGGAATTCCCTAACCCACTTACCTATTCTGTATATATATATAGGCTTGACTCAGAAAGTAAATTAGCTTGTAATTGTGCTTCCGAAATTAGGTCCTTTGTATGCATGCTGAAAAAGCTTCATTAGGAATTTACGCGAGCAGTTTATATACATTTGAGTTTTCCATTTAATGCACGCGTTTCTGTACACAAGTTAATTGAAAGTAATTGGGTTTTGAATATTTCTGGGGGTATTTTACGCAAATATGCTGCTTATCTGTAGCTCTGGTATATGAACATGATGAAGTAATCTCGTATACATCTACATGAATTACTTTATTACATTAACATTCGTAAAATTTCAATTTGCTCCCCTTGTCGATGTTTATATGGAAGTGAATAGTGTGCAACGTTATGAAGTAAGCTCCATCCCAATGCACTTGACCTTCATTACACTCTTCTAAATACAGTGTATGTGGGGTTTTTTTGTTTAACGTTGCACTCAGCAATATTCCAACGATGTGACACACTGTCTGTAAATTATCGGGTCTGTGCCAACCAGATAATCCAGTGATGGACATGATGAGCATCAATCTACACAAATGCATCAACGAAGTCAGCAACTTGACCACCCAATCCTGTTCAAGCATGGGACCAATTCTAACCCGGATCTTCACGGGGTTCATGTTATAGCACAGGGAATGAAGCACCACTTGTTTGATAGGCATTACTTAGAAGTTGGCGGATGACAAGATAGACACAATTTTATGGATAACAACTTCTTTAATACTGTAAAAAGCGACGTTTCGGTATGGATCCTTATACCGTTGTCAAGCAAGACTGAATGAGGGACATAGAGCAGAATATATATAGCAAGTAGAGGATTAACAGTACAGGATTAACAGTAGAGGATTAACAGTAACAACAAGGGCATACATGAGTGGGATAACATAGGTAGGTGTGACAACAAGGATGATGCTATCACAACACGATGGACAGAAAACACATAGCTAGAAGCCAATGGGGCATGAAGCCAATAAACAGGTGATTATTGTTTGATGAGTTCATAGTAGGCGGATGGGATGAAATAGCCTTGATCTCTGTTGATTGATGGGTTGTGGCGGCGAATGTGGACTGCTTCTGTTAGTTTTCTTTTGGTGAAATCATGGAGGTTGTTGGCGAGGATTTGGACGTTGTCCCAGTTGATGATGTGATTGGGACAGTTGATGATATGGTCCGAGATGGCTGATTTGCTGTCGGATTTGATGGTGGAGGTTTTATGCTCTTTGATTCTAGTGTTGATTGGGCAGGATGTTTCACCTACGTAAGATTGCCCGCAGTTGCAGTCAATTTTGTAGACTACACCTTTAACCTCTTGGGGTTAAGATGTGTTCCTGCCGTTGGCTCTTAGCAGGGTGTTAATCCTCCATTTGCTATATATATTCTGCACTATGTCCCTCATTTAGTCTTGCTTGACAACGGTAGAAGGATCTATACCGAAACGCCGCTTTTTACAGTATTAAAGAAGCATCACTGTTTGAAGACAACAAAGGATTTTTAATGCTTAATTTGGATACTTGGGACTCCAAAAAAAGTTTGAAACAACCGGGAATTTGACACATCCAAGTTCGACACAACGTGGTTATATGTAAAATATATATGTAAAATTCATATATTTAATCATTTTGCATAAAAATGTCTTTAGTATGTTTTTCATCTAGAACATGTAGAATGAACTTTCTGAAAATCATCCTTATCTGATGTGTAGATATATGCGTTAAAGCATTCTTGTTAAATTTATTTTCTTCAAAATTTCAGCTGTCTCCTCATCAGTAGTACTAATACAGTTAACTAAAAAAGTCCCTGTTAGAAACCGTTGTTATTGTATATTTGAAAGGTAATCGAGGTTAAGAGGATAAAAAAAAGAATATAGGATTTTTATCAAGACCATTTGTATTAGTCTAAGATGTATGAGGAATTCAGGGATATATGTATCGTAACTGCATACATGAAACATGATTTTTCAAACACATACTATCCAACATGGAGGAAAGTTCATTTCAGCATTCCCGTTTGCACATTTTGAAAAGACTTGCCAAGAATTCTTGGGATTCTGGTGACGTTGCAGAATGATCGTTGGTGATTTGATAAATCACTGGTACCTGTGCTCACTGATGTCCTATTTTTTGTAACTGAATTCTCCCAAGTAAATAACAGATAACATATTCACCATCTCCAAATGTTTAACTGCAATCCCCAAAAGTGCAGTACTTACCAAGACAATTGCTATATCAGAACTCATATAAAATTATTAAAAAGACAAAAGTTGTCACACCTTTAAATTAAAGAGTGTATTAGGCCTAATAAGCACTGCAAAACCAATCAGTGTGTTCTCAAGGCTCAAGTAAATTATTTTACAATATTGGTAGATACCACAGCAACGGTGACAGAAGTGTCAGACTCATAGACATATGACCTGAGTTACCGATGTCAGTGACTGTCAAAACTTCCCTTTCAAGGATCTTAACTGCTGAACGTAAACTTGAGTTAAACTCGTTGACAGTAAACCTACTTATCACTACTGCATTTCATCTAAACAACGACATAATACAATGCTGAAAAAAGCCCCAATATGTCAACATTCTACGATATTTCAGAATCAAAACATCGACTTACATCTCTTGCTTCCGCCATGGATGATACTAATTTTAGAAATTGTTGAAAATCAAGCAGAAACATAAGAACGAAAAGGGTATGCATTCTTTCGACCATGTAATCATACTTAGATAAAGGATCCAGGAAATAACATTAATATTAACAATAGCGTTGAATTAATATGATATTCTTATCAAATTATATTGAAATATAAATAAAGTATGCATCGCAATATATCATATTCCATTTTAGAAACTTATTTTTACATTTTAACTAACTTCCTGTTCGGGAAGTCTCAAAATCCAATCGCATTTCAACACGAAACGATAACGAAAATAAAGTTGATTTGAACAAGTAAATTACATGCTGTAGATAGTCATGATGAAAGCGTGGCGTGTGTATCTGCTCCTGTCTCTGCTTCTCGCTGTTGCTTTCGCGGCGAAGAAGACTAAGGACGAAGAGGATGACGAAGATGAAGACGACGACGAGGAAGATGGTAAAGTGGAGGATGAGGAAGAAGAGGAGCGAAAAGAAAAAGCGAAGTTTAAGAAGAAAAATATCCGAGACTACGATGAAGCAGATTTAGAAAGACTGTATGATCAATGGGAGGTAAGACCTTTGAGATTTGTTAACTGAATGTGCAACATTTTAAGAAAAGAGTACCCGGAAATGCATATTTATTTTGCAAGATATCTAGACATTTAAAAGGCAATGAAAAGGGGAGGGGCGTTGGAAGCGCGAGTCGCAGCTATGGATTAATCGCGAACAATTATCTTCAGGAAATGATCGTTTATATTTCGTGTGACATTTACTCACTCACAAAGCAAAGTGTCATGTGTTTTTCAACATCTAACAAAGAATTCTTCAATCAGTCATAAACCCATACGCGGAATTGGAGGGGTGGGGGGACGGTGCAGGGGTGCATTAATTTAGGCACCCCAAATTTTATTTCTTAAAAAAGCAGTGAAATCATCCAGATCAGCATACCATCACTCAACTGAGATTAAGCATCTAAATGATGGTGCCATAACGTTTCAAACTGAATGAATGTCAGTGATCAGCTGGACATATTACATCAAGGTTACACATCAAAGGAGGTCATTGTCTATGTCATCAATTAAACATCAGAATTTTCTGGGAGACAGCTAGTCAGACATGTTACACCATGGTGGAGGTGAAGTTGCCCAAATGATTAATTGCCACCTGCATTAATATATATATGTATATATCTCATTGTGCAGAGTTACATCCCTTAGATATACCAGGATTTGCTGGTTGTGGATTTGAATCCAAGTTTTTGATTATGGTCCTGGTCTAACAGCACTCTACCATGATCAACCATTTAATTTGGTGTATCATTTGAAATTTGAATTTTTTCACTGTTTTAAATTAAGCATGGCAGGAAAAAAAGTCCTTGCTATTGTCTTTAACAAATACTAAAGAATTAAGAGATCCCTAGATTAATATGCTGCAGGAGCAAACCTCAAGAACCCAATGACCCCACATTTTTGTAACGGGGGCACGGGTGGCCCAGTTGTCTAAGGTGCCGCAATTTTTCAGAGTTGTATCCTCGGGCACGCCAGAAACCTATGATTGTGGGTTCGTATCCCGTTTTGCCCCGATTATGTTTCTAGTTTTGTCAGCGCCATACCCGTGCTTGTAGGTTTTACCGAAGTGGTTTCCTTCCACATTAAGCTGACAAGCGATGACTTGACTGGAATACCGTAAAAGCAGCATTAAACACCACTCACTCACTCACTCTTTTTAACACTGTTAAAACTGATGATAAGCAGTTGACTTGTAGAAGCTTTTTGTGTGTCCAGCAATACTGGCTTTACTGCACCTCTGAATAATGATTTGTAAGTTGGTTAGCACTGTACATGGTGTATACTGAGATAGATTATAAATTGACTTTTAAATAAGGAATTACAAATATTAATGCGTACACCTATACTTATTGACTCAATAATATATTTACAATATGCTATATTTGAAATGGGATAAATTAGCTGGACGTTCACAAACAACTATCAATGACCCTGATATGGCTGATTTGTGATAAGACACTAATGCTTAATGAGAATTCGTGTTGGTCTACGATTGGCTGAAACTAATGTCCACTGAATTTTTAATGTTAGTTGATGTTATTGTCTCAGATTACCCCTAAAGGTGTAAGTCAATATCTGTGCTCAACATACTGATGGAGAGAAACACTATGCGCACTGATTCTCAGATGAGAGTACAGAGAGGCCATGTTAGGGATTTATATGGATTCAACACTTTTGTATCCTTTCGGGGGCCATTTTGGGAAAAATTGTTAAACAATAAAGTTCTTAGTTTTTTTAATTTACATTGTATTTTTAATGTTGTATTCAGTGAAATAATGTAAAACTTAGCATAAAACATCTAACTCTTTATTTGTTATCAATAAAATACAAGTCATCTCCCCAAGGCAATCTCATTAAAATCAGATCTTAGTTCTCGATCTTAGATCTGATTTTAATTAGATTGCTCCACATGGTGGGCCTGGGACGAGTCCAAATTTACTACCCAGGTGCCCAGCCCACCATTACCCGACCCTACCCGGGTACCCGCTGTAGGTCTCAAGAGATAGGTACACAATGTCTGATTGGGAATAGCTTGACTATAGCCATGGCAAAATGTATGTAGATGCATGTTTAAAATGATCTGGATATGCATAGTCTGAAGTCGACTGAAGCTTTATCTTTATTCAAACATATGAAAGTCAGAAGGAATGAGTGCATAGTCAGAAAGAACTGTGAATACATGTATATGTGACTTGTAGTGTAACCATAGAGTTCTAGATAAGTTTGGTCATTTAAGGAAATGAACGACAGTCAGCTTGGTAGTGTTCACCAAGGTGAGGTCACTTACTACTGTCAATGTTAAACAATATGTCATGTGAGTGAGTTTGGTTTTACGCCCATTTTAGCAATATTCTACCAATATCACTGTGGGGGACACCAGAAATGAGCTTCACACATTGCACCCATGTCAGGAATCGAACCTGGGTCTTCGGCGTGACGAGCGAACACTTCAACCACTAGGCTACACGACCGCCCCATATGTCATGTGACTAACCACGTGTCTGGGTAGTCTTGTGGGTACCCGGGTCCTGCTCAGTACCCACCCGACCCGACCCGACCCAACCTGACCCCACCTGACCCGACCTGACCCCACCCGACCCGACCTGACCCCACCCGACCCGACCTGACCCCACCCTACCTGACCTGACCTGTCTCAGCCCTTCTACAAAGTTATGACTATAATATTATTTACATAATAAACTTGGACATTTTTCAATTTCTAGATCTAGACTACTATTTGCTGGTCTTTTAAATTTTATGGAAGCCTCAGTCACCTACCTTATTCAACGTAAAAAGCACCCAGGACGCTCTCAAAATTAGAAATAGGGGGCTCTTATTAGAGAACTATTTTGGTGAATGAAAAAAAAAGAGTTGAAAGATCGGAAGTTTCGTGGTTTATGCTGACAGTCTGAAATGTTTATATACGACAGATATATTTTTCCACAATTTAATTGCCCGTAATTAAGGGTGCATATATAACACACGAGTGCGTATTATACGTGAATAAATAAATCCTGTGTACATTGATCAATCGGAATGGATGCTAATTAGGATTGTTCACTAGCCAATACATTTGCAAATATCGCCGTGGGCGCTTATTAGAGCGGGGCGCTTATTACGTCGAATACGGTACTTTGTGTGCTGGCTGTTAACTGCCTCGCTCTGAGTGTGTGGTTTCGAATCCCAGATGGGACTACACCCAAAATAAGAACAAGAATTTATACCTTACTAGGAAAGTGTGATCCCCAAAATAACATATGTTCCCTCTATGAAGCTAAGTGTGTAGAACAAGGCCTTGATCCAGTAAGAAGCAGGAAAAGTGATGCAGGATCGGGTGGTCAGACTTGCTGACTTGGTTGATGCATGTCATCGTATCCCAAGTGCATGGATTGATGCTGATGATGTCAATCATTGGATTGTCTGGTCCAGACTCGATTATTTACAGACCGCCGTCATATAGCTGGAATATTGCTGAGTGCAGCGTTAAACAATGTGTTTTACAGCAAGCATTGGTTGCTGAAGACCTATCAGACCCCAGATCTTCACAGGTCTGATCAAGTCAGACTCACGCATGTTTGGTGTATGTATTCAAAAGGTTTGATCTGGTGAAAATGGCATATTAAATGAACAAAGCTCTATATTGCTCTGCAACATGGGGCTTTGTTACTGCCAGTCAGAAATCAATTCAAGAATATGAATATTTTATGACGAGAAAAATCTAGTGGGAGAAATGGAAATGTCAAGCGTTAAACCGTTTCAGTCAACTCGTGACCTATCAGACAGGTTTACCCATCAATGCAGTTCTCATGTTCCTATTCTCACGATACTAAAGAATCAAGCTATCATCACAATAAATAATTACCATGGCTACCAAACTGGGAAATCTTGTTTCTTTATTTAAGATCATTTGCCTGAATTTTTACAACTGATTGTTAATGACAGCACATCCAACAGCGTGTTATTGACAACTTGATTGCATCTATGGGTCGTCGGTGTCAAGCGATGATTGATGCACATGAAGGGCACAACCGATACTGACATTTTCTGTACCCCTGTGACATTAACTGTATCGTGTACGTGTGTCTGCCACGATTAATATTTTGAATATTGTGTACATTGATCTTCAAACAGTGTTTCAATTATGGTTTCTGTGTCCTATTTTGAAACAATCGCATTATATTACATTTTGAAAGTCAGTGTCAAGTTTCTTTTTTTGAAGAGTATATAATGTATTTCAGTATTTTTCCCTTGGCAAACAAACCCGTGAAGATACAGGGTAGAATAGGTGTTCAGCAACCCATGCTTGCCATAAAAGGCGACCATGCTTGACTACGCAATACTTTCCTGAAAACACATATATCGCCAGATTCAGCCGATTTCAGAGCTCCAGATCACCTGCAAGCTAAATCATTGTAACCCAATTTGCTTGCATACAAAAGAAATGAAGAAATATGATCAACCAATAGTAGTATGACAACACTGTCGCCATTACCCTTTGAGTTTTTTCAGCTGTTGTACACATATGTCTTTACGTGAACGCTACTGCAATGAATAATGCACAGGTGTGCGACATCTGGCTTTTGATTGTAACTCGACATATATATCACTGTTTTGAGGTTACGCGACATGTGTTTTGCTTCAGGCAGCACACGGACATATACACCCGAGACAGATTTGAAGGACAATTATTTGTAAAATGTCAACAAATTCATTACAAAACCCAACTGACAGGACCCAGGAGAGTAGAAATAAACTGATTCAGTACCTAAAGTGAGTGATATCATGTGTCCGAAATAATTGCCTGCCCCACTGCCCATGGCTGGTAACTTTTCTGTCGGGCTGTCTAAACTTTTCCTTCAACTGCCCACGAACATTTGAGTCTTGTACTGTAACTGTGGTGTTTTAGTATTATTTTCATTTAGAATACCGGTATATCTTCTGACTAACCACATGCCAGGGTAGTCCTCTGGGTACCCAATCCTAATCAGATTTTTTTCGTTTGGTTTGTTGTTTTACGCCGCACTCAGCAATATTCCAGCTATATGACGGTGGTCTGTAAATAATCGAGTCTGGACCAGACAATCCAGTGATTGACATCATCAGCATCGATCCACGCAATTGGGATCGATGACATGCATCAACCAAGTCAGCGAGCCTGACCACCCGATCCCGTTAGTCGCCTTTTACGACAAGCATGGGTTGCTGAAGACCTATTCTACCCCGGATCTTCACGGATCAAGTCCTACTCAGGACCCTGCAGATCTGCTCTCTGCATCCTTGCAGGGCGGTCGGGTAGCCGAGTGGTTAAAACGTTCGCTCGTCACGCCGAAGACCCGGGTTTGATTCCCGACATGGGTACAATGTGTGAAGCCCATTTCTGGTGTCCCCCGTCGTGATATTGCTGCAATATTGCTAAAAGCGGCATAAAATCATACTCACTCACTCACTCTCACTCACTCACTCACTCACTCACTCACTCACTCACTCACTCTCCATCCTTGCATTCATTCACCTGATGAAGGAGTAAGCATATACTCCAAAACATGTTCCTCACAATAAACAAGAAGATAAGTTAACATCCTAAAATTCTTCCTTGTCTAAATGCCATGCAAATGCTTCATCCAGAATCCTTGTGTTGTGTGTGAGGCCACACATGTTTTATTTTTCGTTTCATGTGCCCTCCACATGTACTGAAAAGAGGCTGGCAAAGAAAAAAATTAAACATAACAAGATTTATTTTTATTATGTCTCCCGAGAGTAATATAGACCCTCTTGTACAATATATAATGTTATATATAAACTCCATGTCTATGTAGCGGCCATAAAATTTCCGAGTCCCGTGATGGGATTCGATCCACGGACCTTATGATCCGAGGTCGGACGCCTTGTCCACATGACCAAAGAGGTTAACCCCTTCAGCAAACTGACAAGGTAAGGATGTCATCTGTGGGATGACTCCACGCCCTGCTACATACTCCCCCGTCAACAGAAGGCACGTCCCGGGCCGCATAGTAGGGTACTGAGGCTTATTTTCTCAAATTTAATATGAACGTGCTCAGCCCCACGTTGGACGCCAATGTAGCGGCCATAAAATTTCCGAGTCCCGTGATGGGATTCGATCCACGGACCTTCTGATCCGAGGTCGGACGCCTTGTCCACATGACCAAAGAGGTTAACCCCTTCAGCAAACTGACAAGGTAAGGATGTCATCTGTGGGATGACTCCACGCCCTGCTACATCTACATCACTATCAGTGATTAAAGAAGCCAGCTGCAGTTTTAACTCCAGAACAGAATGACTTTCTAATAATTAAATAAATGATTGCCACAGCTATTTATATTTATGCTCCACCATGAAGTGGTAGAGAAATATAGGAATGAGTTCTGTCCGTCCCTCCTGCCGTCCGTCCATCCATCTATCTGTCACGTTTCATTTCTAGAGCAGAACTAAAAAATCCTGAGATATTTAAACCAAACTTGGCATATATATAGGTCTAGTGGTGAACTGGTGCCTTTTGAAAGTGGGAGCAGAATTTGAAAACCATGCAATATTTCTTGCCTTGCACACAACCGGACATGTCATATTGGCGGGGGATGTGAGTATTTCATGCTTGTTATTTTTGTTTGGACTGACCTTGTGTGGAAAAGCTGGAAAAATCCGTGAAACATAAAATTACAAAAGTGCGGCCTAACTCCCCAGTTTTCGTTGTTGACCAGGAAGACGAGGAGCCACTGCCGGAGGACGAGCTGCCGGAGTGGAAGCGGAAACAGAAGGGCATCGACATGTCGCAGCTGGACATGAGCAACCCCGAGAAGATGATGCAGCAGACCAAGAAGGGGAAGTCGCTGATGATGTTCGCTACCGTCGCAGGTCGGTTGTTTGGGAAATGACACAATTACAAAATACTGCAAGTGGCATCTATCGTATCCTCCACACACTTTTCATGCATCACTCAGGTGATGCCAGTCCTCATTTCAATATTAAGCAATTTCTGTGTTCCTTCTTGTGTTGTTTCTGAAGTTGTGTGGATGTTGTTGTCCACAGGCAACCCGACGGAGAAGGAGACGGAGAAGATCACAGGCCTGTGGCACAGCAGCATGTTCAACGCCAACATGGAGATGCAGAGGTAGGTCCATCTCGTCTCCTGTGTCACATGCCTTGTGTCAGTATATAACCCATGCCTTGATGCAGAGGTAGGTCCATCTCGTCTGCTGTGTCACATGCCTTGTGTCAGTATATAACCCATGCCTTGAGTCCATATATAACCCATGCATTGTGTCCCATATATAACCCATGCCTTGTGTCCATATATAACCCATGCATTGTGTCCCATATATAACCCATGCCTTGTGTCCATATATAACCCATGCCTTGTGTCCATATATAACCCATGCCTTGTGTTCCATGTATGTAACCCATGCCTTGTGTCCCATATATAACCCATGCCTTGTGTCCATATATAACCATGCCTTGTGTCCCATATATAACCGATGCCTTGTGTCCATATATAACCCTGTCTTGTGTCCCATGTATGTAACCCATGCCTTGTGTCCATATATAACCCATGCCTTGTGTCCATATATAACCCATGCCTTGTGTCCATATATAATCCTGTCTTGTGTCCCATGTATGTAACCCATGCCTTGTGTCCATATATAACCCATGCCTTGTGTCCATATATAACCCATGCCTTGTGTCCGATATATAACCCATGCCTTGTGTCCATATATAACCTGTTCTGCAAATAAACGATCATGACATATTTATATAAAACACGATTGGGTACCAATGTTATGTAACTAAGTTTAACTTTGGCACTTGATGAATTCTTTATTATTGTTGATGATGATGATGATGATGGTGATGGTGTTGGCCTCCTGTTCCAGGTACGTGGTGGGCAGCAACCGCGTGTTGTTCATGGTGTCGGACGGGGCGAAGGCGTGGGACGTGAAGGACTTCCTGGTGCAGCAGGACAACTGTGAAGAGGTGACCATCGACGGACAGAACTACCCCGGGAAGGGGGCGCAAAAGAAGGTGAGCGGGCTGAGGGGTGCCATTCTAATCTCCGTGTGGGGGTGCCATTCTAATCTCTGGAGGGGTGCCATTCTAATCTCTGGAGGGGTGCCATTCTAATCTCTGGAGGGGTGCCATTCTAATCTCTGGAGGGGTGCCATTCTAATCTCTGGAGGGGTGCCATTCTAATCTCTCTGTAGGGGTGCCATTCTAATCTCTGGGGGGGTGCCATTCTAATCACTGTTGGGGGGTGCCATTCTAATCACTGTTTGGGGTGCCATTCTAATCACAGAGTTATATCCTTTCTATGTCCCTCCTACTGACCAAACAGATTGCACCTCTCATATCACTTGCATTTGCTTAAAGCAAAATGGTGGCGTCCAGTCACGACACAAGATAAAACAGATCTTTATTGTAATAAAATAGGTATAACGTGCATCAAATCACTTGAGCACATTAATTATAAACATGAAAAGAATTGGAAAATATCTGTTGACGCCCAGTTGATGGTACTCGTGCTCAGCGTATCTTGCGATCGAATGAATTTGGCACGGCGGTTGCCATGTTGTTTATGAATTGCAATTATGACCTTCTCAGCACTTTGATCACTTTGTGGAATTGCTTCATGGATATCCTTTTTCATGATGTACTATGTCCATCAGGAGAGAGGGGTGGTCGGGTAGCCTAGTGGTTAAAGCGTTCGATTGTCACGCCGAAGACCCAGGTTCGAATCCCGACATGGGTACAATGCGTGAAGCCCATTTCTGGTGTCCCACGCCGTGATATTGCTGGAATATTGCTAAAAGCGGCATAAAACCACACTCACTCACTCACTCACTATCAGGAGAGTAACGATGTATCAGACTGGATGTATTGCAATTGTTAGCCTTACAATAGTACCATATAGAAAGGAATTTAAAATGACAATAGTATTGTTCATGTTGTTGATAGTATACAAAACAATCGATAGTTTCAATATTTGCAAAGTGCATAAATAAAACATAAATGATGCAAATTTCAAACCTGCCTGTGTGTTGGTTAGCAAGGATTATGACTTGAGATTAGAGTTACTTCCCTTTGGTTTGAGTAGCGAAAGAGAGGAAAATGGCTGACTTTGAGTTTGCCTGCAATACTTTATTCATTCCTGTTACAATGATTAATAACAATATCAAGCCTTTAAGGGGCACTGATCTAACGCAATTCCCTGGGACTGGTTGTTGCCTTTGTTATTGTTTTTTCCCAGTGAGTACCAGGATGTATAGCAGAAATCTAGACTAGTTCACGACCTCTGCTGCGCCATTCGTAAGCGCATTAGTCACTTTTATGGGTAGTAATAAGGGCGTATGGTCACATTGATCAACAAAATGAAACACAGTTTTCGAGATAATAAGGAAATGTAGGTATCTTTGTGGGTAGCATCTGTAATGGTGACGAAGTTTTGATAAGTCACTTGCTTGGTAATTTTGAGATTTTCGTTTACACTATTTTGACTTGCAACACAAAGTAAATATTTCACCTGAGCCTTGCTTTTTTTATAGTGTGTATATTTTTTTACTGTCAAAATATGTAACATTTTCAAATTTATTAAACGCCTAAATATTCAGTTATTTTACAAAGTGACTGAAAAACATTTCCATCTGTAATATTATGATAACAAATTCCAAACATTTTGATGTTTAATTTCATCACCAAGAGACTGAAAATGTTACGTTGAAAAGTACATTTCTATGTTGTTTGGCTTCTAATCCTACATAATAATCTGTTGTGATGTTTGTAGGCCCTTTTGATCGTCTTAATCAATCTGGACAGATTTTTTAGTCAAAATGACTGAAATATTTACACATTTTATAAATTGCCTGAGAGAATCACATTCTACAAATTGATGGTAATATATACACGCTTACAAAGGAAAATACCTGTGAAAACAACGTCTATAGCGCATTGAAGAATTTCCCAACCAATACGTAGAGAAACAAGGACGAATTGGTTCAATGCTACAGCAAATGAAGGAAAACAAAATGCAAATACCATAATTACAACCTACCAAATTTATGTGTATAATTTTTTGGCAGCTTCCTTGTTCGAGGAATGTATCCGTGAATATCCACACAAAGGAATAATATCCCACTCGTCTGCAGCTGTACAAAGAAACTTATTTGATGTCAGGTATCTCTGTAACAATCAAATATTTTAAAAGATCTATATCGTTTCGGGATATTATAACCCGTGTTCGTTTCTCAACTGATCACTTGGATTGTTTCAGGTGTTTCACATAGGTGTCAAGTCTCAAAGGTCGGCTGAGAAAGCCCACGTGACAACTATTTTCATAACGTCCACGGTTCCTAAAACATCAATTGAGTGATAGATAACAATGATCAATCAATCAACGTATTATCAGTTAACTTTTGAACAAAGTATGTTGTTTTTACATTGGCACTTCACGCCATGATATGAGTGTATTCCCTTTGTTTTAGTAAACCTAGACATGTAAACACTCACTTTTGACATATCCACTGTGCAAGATAACTGATTAATCAATCAACATATTTTCTGTTAATCCTTTGATGACTAGGAACGATCCGTTGATTTACAAAAAAAAAGTAAATCAACTGATCATTCACCTCTTGCTGGGCTGCCACGTGCATATTACATAACACACATTTCACCTCACTTCAAACCTGGATTTAGATTGAATAATTACCCCAGACACAATAAATGCCAAATGGGAACCTTTGTCAGATAATCTAAGTGGAGATACCACTAATTGTACCTGTAATAAATTCATTAACTGAGCATCAAGTGAATGACGACAAATACACAAGTGTAGGGGTTATACGAGAAAATGTGGATGACAACAAGGGAGTAATAATCGTATTATCGACGCAATCCGAAATCCGAAAATGCTTTCACTGCATGGATACTTTCTTTAGTATTAAACTATAACCATCTGGGGTATTTCACAATGACGACATCCGATGAGCTCCGCCGTTCTTTTTGTCTGTTTGTTTAGGCTGAAGAAATTAATTAACATGCGCCCTTTGTTGAAATCTTTATAGATCATGGTTAACCAATCAGTGTTTATGCAAAAATGCGTAAAACAAATATTGCCTCCAGCCTCCAATTTTATTTAGCTGTCCTTGCAGACGGTAGCCCAGTCTCTGGTCATGCTCAGTTGCGTTGCGTATCATCCGGGTACTCACGGGAAAAAAACAAAGGCAACAACCAGTCCGGGGAATTGCGTTAGATCAGTGCCCCTTTAAAGTTTGTTTAATACTATCACAATATGACAGCGATTTATATAGACCTGCTCAGAGGCCGATATTGGGCCCCAAGTCTGCAGCTAATGACAGTATACTTCCCAATTTGAATTAAAGATTTCTTATTTCCTTAGAATTTAGAAAATATGAACAGTGAAAAATCAGATTTTGAACAAAATCACTTGATTATTTTCCAGTTTTCCTACAAGGGCACTTAGTTGGGAATCTGAAATAATAGTTGCACTATTGCAATAGTGTGGAGTATTATTGCAATACAATGCAAGAGTGAAAATAGCCCCGATAATCACCCTATAGTATACTGTGTCTGAGTGGGATATTCATGTTAAACTGAGGCATGGTATTTCAGTGGACACACACATACACACACACACACACACACACACACACACACCACACCGCTATATAAGTGCAATAATCTTGGATGCAATAATCTTGGATGCAATGTTAAACCTCATTTCACCTCGCCTCATTTCACCTCACCTCACCTCGCCTCATTTCACCTCACCTCACCTCATTTCACCTCACCTCGCCTCATTTCACCTCACCTCGCCTCATTTCACCTCACCTCACCTCATTTCACCTCACCTCATTTCACCTCACCTCAACTCACCTCATACAAAGAGAGGCTGATCTAATAACCTTGCTTCTGTGTTTGTAGGCTGACGATGGAAAGAAGGGGGACAAAAAGAAGAAAAAGAAGAAGGATGAACTGTGAGGAAGATGATTCATCACCTTGGCAACGGTGATGCTGGTATCAGAGGAATATGTGTTGATGAATGTAGCTTGTCCTATCAGAATCAGCATTAGGAGATGGAGGTATACATGTGTTTGTGAATGTGTCGTCTGATTGATCACCTGGTGAGGTTAAGTGTGACTTTTCATGTAACAACGATGCAAATATTTCATGACTGAAGTTCCTGTATATAATAATGTTGTGTGCTGTGATTATGTTGGGTATACATTGTAGGACCATTTGTTCATGGCAAGACTTTTTTTGAGAGTTTACATACCTTTGGCCCCAAAATTCAGGTCAGTAAGACGAATAAATACAAAATCTCAAAATTTCAGCTATTTATTTTTTTAATTCCTCAAAAGGTTAATTAGGTAGGGAAGCAAAAAACAGGTGTGGGGTAGTTGTGTTATGAAGTTTTTAAGGGGAATTGTCAACAGGTTTAAATTAGGGTAATTTAAATTTTATGTATATTGATCATGTTGACAGCAACAGTAAGCAAGTTTTTTTAACATGATACTTTTTTCTGGTCGGCAGAATAATAGTTATAATAACAAAAAAACACTGCTTTTCATTTTTTAAACATTTTTTCATTTCAGTTTTTTTAATTAACTGATTCGTAAACAAAGCTTTAAAAAAAAGTCTGGCCTTAACGCTCAGTGGAATTTTCTAATCAAATGTTAATAGTTTTGCAAATATTTGTGTTTATGCTTCAAACAATTATTCAAACTGAAAATCTTAGCTTCAAACCATACCAAAAAATTATTTGACTCAGAAATTATTCTCAAGCTTATGTGTATTGTCAATATATTTATACTAGTATCTCACATGTTCACAACCGGCAACTATTGTATTGTTGAGGCTATCTGGTGCAATATGAACTACATACATGCCAATACAAGCATCATTCTCTGATGGGACTGATAAGTGAGCATGTACAATGTTATATCAGTGTCTGAGAGTTGTCTCCCTTCAGTATGCATATATTTGTCTCTATTCATTCTGCAGGTGTCCTTTCATTCAGCAGTTATCTCCCTTCATTCAGCAGTTGTCTCCCTTCAACTGCAGTTGTCTGCCTCAGCTCAAATATTCCAAAGGGGGTTCAAATTTTGTTTTTTGTTTTCCTATAACAAGCTTAGGTATCAAGCCTCCAAGCTACAAGGGCAGTCGGGTAGCCTAGTGGTTAAAGTGTTCGCTCGTCATGCCCAAGACCCGAGTTTGATTCCCGACATGGGTACAATGTGTACCCCCGCCGTGATATTGCTGGAATATTGCTAAAAGCGGCGTAAAACCATACTCACTCACTCACTCCAAGCTACAAGGAATTATTGATTATTATATCAAAAGTGTACATAGTTCACTGATTCTTGGCAAGAGTTATCAAGATATTTAATACCAGGTAATAGATTAATAATCCATTGTTCGAGTTGGATATTCTCAATAAAAAAATCTGAAAAAACAATGAATACAATGAACCAGTCAGCATGAAACAAAGATTATAATGCTCAGTGACAATTACTGAAAATAATTAATCTGTTTCTGTGCTCTTATGGGTAATATTGATGCATTATATTTGCACCTTTCACATTTGCATTATGTTGTAAGATCTGTGCTACTTTCTTCAAAGTGACTATCACAAATGTTTGTAATTCATTCTGCATTTGTCTCCCTTCTATCTGCAGTTGTCTCCCTTCGCTCAGTTTTGATGTTGAATGGTGTTATTCAAATTGTCCAAGTGCCTTCTTTTAAATATGTTGGATATTTGATGTATGCCGTTACAATCTTTATGTACAATGAACACCACACATCAGGCCACATTAGGAAATATTTGAGGTAATCAGAGAAGTAAGTGTTTAAAATAATCAAGTTTTCTTCCATCTTGATATTTTGCCAAAAACACCCTTTTGACATTTATGAAAAATATTGGAGGATAATTGTTTAAGAAACTATTTTGTTATGACAGTTGTAAATTGTTTCAACCATACAGTGTTATTGTCATGATTGGGGAAACAATGCTAACTGCACGTGGTAATCATGAAATATGTTTGTGTTTCTATGACAATTTGCTATCATTTCCCGATCATTTGACTCATCTTCTTGAGGCAAGGGCGTTAACTGACTATTAAAGTCCAGTTTCCATCCTTGCCTAACTAGGCTGGAATTCCAGAGTTACATTTTGGCTGGATTAACGAGCATATGCATAGTCCAATCAATATCGTGTAACGAACTAGACATCCGGGTCGTAAACAACATGGAAGTCAACTTGCAGATTTTGGTCGACTGCAGGATTTGCAAAGCATCAACTGGGCGTAGACAGATATTTTCCAAATCTTTTCATGTTTTAAATCATGGCGCTCAAGTGATTTGATGCGCTTCACAGGGTAATACCCATTTTAATACAATATAGATCTTGAATATGGTTCAGATCGTCTTAACTGGGGGCCGCCATTTTGTTTGATGCAAATGCAAGTGAAATGAGAGATGGAATCTGATTGGTCAAAAGGAGGGACATAGAAGTGACAGAAGGATCGAGCCTGGAAATTTCAGCCTAGTTCGGCAAGGATGGAAACTGGACTATTGTAGTCAGTTAATGCCCTTGCCTCAGGAAGATGGAGTTGACTGAAGGACTAAAGGCAATATCAAACTCCAGTGACCCTTTCAGTATCATTAGCCTGGGGAAATTGTAGATTTTGTGACACTTTTGTCATGTCTATTAAATTGATATGTATTTACTTAAACATAAGGTGTTTTGAAATATTTTTGAAATTGTGCTACTGATGACCACAACAGTGCTATTTAGGTCTTGTTTGCAGGTTTAAAGTCATTGTGCCATATGGAACTGATACAAGAATACAGAATGGGGGCATGGGTGGCCTAATTCATTGTTGGGAGTTGTGGGTTTGAATCCAGGTTCATCATGATTGTAGGTTTGTCAGCACCTTATCCATGCTCGTGGGTTTCACCAAAGTGGTAATTGTCTAAGACCTGCATCACTTTGAGTTTTCCTCTGACACCAAGCTGACACGTGATGGGGCTGATATACTGTTCAAAACAATGTTAAACCTCACTCACTCACTAGAATAACAAATTTATAGCTCTGTATGCAGACTTTGAAATTCATACTTGTCATAATCTGGGACAAACGGGATCGGATGGTCAGGCTCGCTGACTTGGTTGATGCATGTCATGGTATCCCAATTTTTCGTAGATCAATGCACATTATGTCAATCACTGGATGGTCTGGTCCAGACTCAATTATGTACAAACTGCTGTCATATAGCTGGAATATTGCTGAGTGCGGCGTTAAACAACAAACAATATAAAAGACGTATGAATAAAAACCAAAGCTGGAAAAAAATAGCATGAAATCAAAGCTATTTTGCGGGGTCTGAGGGTTACCTGAAACACAGGCTGTTTGATTATCATATTTTGATTTGTTGTAATCTAAGAGAAGAATTCTGATGACCTTGATGTATTACTTTCATTACAAATTCGGACTGTGTTGAGATATGGTCAGTGGCGTGCTTCACTTTTCAGCTTCATGTCTCTTGTCAAGGTCCTTCTGAAAACTGTGTTATCACGCTGCTGTTTGGTGGTGCTGAATAAATATTTCTAATATATGTACATTATTCTGTTCTGTTTCCCCAAATGGTACCCTGGGAGGCCAGAGGGGTTTACGCGTTATTGAAAGTACACTAAACTACGGTTATAACGAACTCAAAGGGACCACTAATTTCGTTCGTTATAAGCATATATACAGTATATTAACATCAAATGGCCGGGACTAAAAAATAAGTTCGTTATATCCGTCAGTTCGTTATAAGCGTGTTCGTTATAAACGTAGTTTACTGTACGACCATTTGTCAATAATATGTGGGTGGACAAGCATAAACATCTGCTGCTGGGAAGGTGTAAGAGTGAGTGAGTGAGTATGGTTTTACGTCGCTTATAGCAATATTCCAGCAATTACACGGCAGGGGACATCAGAAATGGGCTTCACACATTGTACCCATGTCGGGAATCGAACCCTGGTTAAGGCGTGCGAGCGAACGCTTTAACCACTAGGCTACCGGACCGCCCGGAAGGTGTAAGAAGCCTACGTATATTTGCAGTATTTCAAATACCAGTCCGAGTATCCCAATTGCGTGTATCGGTGCTCATGATGTCAATCACTGGATTGTCTGGTCCAGATTCGACTATTTAAAGACCGATGTCATATAGCTGGAATATTGCTGAGTGCGGCATTAAACAACAAACAAACTTGCTGAAGACCAATTCTAACTGGGATCTATTAATTTGGAATGTTTTGTTTTTTTAATGATCACCGACTCTTGTTTTTGAGAAAACAATCCCAAAAACTAAGTCATATAATAAAAGGCCTGACGTGTTCATTAATCCGGACGTCATCTGTCTGCGTTCAATCGTTCGGATGAACGAGTTTTTTATGTCCCTTCACGTTATGTCGATGTTCCATTGAGTGATTGTCCTAAAGGCGGATAAACAGGTTTTTTACTTTTCTATATAAATCATTTCCCATACTGATTGTACGTTTTAAACTTATCGCACCAGGAGCATGACAGCGCTCGAATACACCCAACACCCATGTTTGATAAGAAACTAGACCCCAATACCCATAAATCTGCCAACGCCGACCTTGATGTCAAACAGTATGACCTGTACCAGGCCAACATGTGAGAAATTGAGAGTGAACAATTAACTCTTTGAATTTGGAAGTGATACACGTAAGAGAGAGTATTTGTGGGGGTCAACTTCTTTGTTATGAGGAACACAACGTTTCGGAGAATATGCTTCTTCTTTTTATTTCTTCTTTTTAATTTAATTTTTTTTTTTAAATTTAAAAAATATTTTTATTTCAATTCAGTTGACATAAATGTAACATTGGTACATGAGGTATATATATGTGTAGCAATTCACAGAATCTTAAAACATGATCAGATATGGGTATATACATATATTTTATTGACTGGTAAATTATTTGAGCTGCCCCCTTTAATGGTTTGTCCAAGCTCCTCACAGCTATAGTACGTTCCCGGAGTGTAACGAAGGTGTCACGCGCTGGGAAGGAGCTTGTGGTTTGTCACTCAAAGGTAGATAACTGGTGGACGACGGTTTTCCTTTGATCACTAATCATTGATCTGTCATCTGTCAAATGTGACAGGATATATATCTGTATTCATGGCGATCGGTCACGGATTTCGTTCATAAAATTATCAATTACAACACTTAGGCCTCGTGCTTGTATATGTCAATCAGTTATTTCTGGAATTTAACGGAAAATCTGATTATAATGAGAAATGAGTGAAGCTTTCGGCAAAATGATGATTATTTTTTCAAATTTGGCAAATTCTTTCAAAGAGATGACTGACTAATTAGCTATGTGTTAATCACGCTGTATATACCCCGTCAAAACCAGTGAGTATGGATTTTCAGTTTCATACTCGTTAACCCCTGTGGAGATTCCGGGTTTTAGAAGTGGTCCACTTTGTTTGTTTGTTTGTTTGTTTGTTTGCTGTTTAACGTCGCACTCAGCAATATTCCAGCTGTATGTCGGCCGTCTGTAAATAATCGAGTCTGGACCCGAAAATCCAGTGATTGACATCATGAGCATCGATCTACGCAATTGGGATACGATGACATGCATCAAACCAAGTAGGCGAGCCTGACCACCTGATCCCGTTAGTCCCACTTACGAGAAGCATAGTCGCCTTTTATGACAAGCATGGGTTACTAAAAACATATTCTACCCCGGATCTTCACGGGTCGATCGTTAGTTTGAATACCAGATTTGCCGTGATTATATTTCTATGTGTGTCACCAAAGTGGTGAACATCTAACCGCTGTCATATAGCTGGAATATTGCTGAGTGCGGCGTTAAACAACAAGTTTTACGGCAAGCATGAGTTGCTGAAGACCTATTCTACCCCGGATCTTCAGGGGTTTAGAGTTGGTCCTCAACGACTTACATGCTTGTCGTACAAGGCGACTTAATGGACCGGGACATGGGCAGACTCGGTTATTTTGTTATGTTCGTGTCATTTTGTTAAGCCGCACTCAGCACATCTTCCCGAGGCTAGTGAGTTAACTGACTATAAAAAGTCCAGTTTCCACCCTTGCCGAACTAGACTGGTATTATGGAGTTACATTTTGGCTGGACTAAATCGAAATCCGGTTCGTAAACTGTCAATCAGATTTCGGTCGATTGCAGGATTTGCAAAGCATGTGCACCGCCTACTCGTTGTCAACATATATTTTCCCAATCTTTTCATGTTTTTAGTCAAGGTACTCACGTGATTTGATGCACTTGGCGATGTAAAACACGTTTTTAAACACAATATAGATCTTGATTATCGATCAGATCGTCTTGACCGGGCGCCGCCATTTTGTTTGAAGCAAATGCAAGTAATACGAGTGGTGGAATCTGATTGGATCATAGGAGAGGCATAGAAGGGACATAACTCGTAATAGCCATTGGTGGCGCTACGATCGAGCCCAGGAATTCCATTCTAGTTCGGCAAGGGTGGAAAATGGACTTTTAAAGTCAGTTAACTCTCTTGCCTCGGGAAGCCGCACTCAGCAATATACCAGCTATATGACGACAGCCTGTAAATAATCGAGTCTGGGCCAGGCAAACCAGTGGTTGATGTGAAGAGCAACTTCCAACGCGGCCGGTCGCTTCCGTGGTCTAGTGGATAGTGCGTCTGCTTGGGGAGCGGAAGATCGGGGTTCGGTCCCCTGCGCGTCATACCAAAAGACTTTAAAATATGGTTTATTTGTTACCCTGCCTGGCGCTCGGCATTAAGGGGAATCAATAAGGACTGGTCAGCTGGGAGTCAGTATCCTGTCTGAGTGGAAAATCCATGTTAAAACTCCGACATGGTACCTCGGTGGGCTAGCGCTATAAAACCGACGCAAGTCAGAACTAGTGCAAGCAGTCACACATACACACATGTCGCTATATAAAAATAGGAGAGAAATACAAATAATCTTGAAAGCCGACGTTTTAAAAGCCGCCTCACCTCACCTCACCTCACCTCACCTCACCTCACCTCGCTAGAATATTGCTTAAAGTGGCAAAGCAAGACCCTCACACTCACGAACATCAGCAATCAAACAACTGTGGTTCGTTGGTTTGTTGTTTAACGCCGCTTTTAGCAATATTCCAGCAATATCACGGCAGGGAACACCAGAAATAGGCTTCACACATTGTACCCATGTCGAACGCTTTAACCACTTGGCTACCCGACCGCCCCTGTTCGACATGAAGGTTGGTTTGTTTGTTGTTTAACGCCGCACTCAGCAATATTCCAGCTATATGACGGCCGTCTGTAAATTTTCGAGTCTAGACCAGTCAATCCAGTAATTGACATCATGAGCATCGATCCGCGCAATTGGGATCGATGACCTGCATCAACCAAGTCAGCGAGCCTGACCACCCGATCCCGTTAGTCGCCTTTTACGACAAGCATATAGTCACCTTTTACAGCAAGCATGGGTTGCTGAAGACCTATTCTACCCCGGATCTCCACGGGTCCAAACAACTGTGACGAATACATATAAGTGAACATGCTTGGTTCTCAGTCGACGCACTCTGCGTAGCACGTTTAATCCTTTAATCTATAGACGTCCATGATAGTTCGACGTATATATGCTAATCCGATGATCGATTATTACCGAAAATTGATCGATTGCCTTGTACTGTTGGCACTGATCGATTGAATATTTGGAGAAAATGTGTTAATAACAAAATTAGAATTAAATGACATACACAATTATTGATAAACATTGGCAACTATTTTTATTAGTATTCATAAAGGTGCACGCACGCGCAGACACACACAACACACAGACACACACACACACATATATATATATTGGTTTGTTTGTTGTTTTACGTCGCACTTAGCAATATTCCAGCTATATGACGGCATATATATATTGTGATAGATGGATGGATAGTTTCCAAAGATGATCTTAGTGCCTGCGTGCGTGCGTGCGTGCGTGCATGCGTGCATGCGTGCATGTGTGTATTGAAGCATGTTATTGCATACAGAATCAAATAGTGTTGAAAAACTATCTTTGAACCATATAGAAGGGCGTAATTTTCCGGTCAATTTTCCAAATTATGGTATACGGGCTCCGTGGGGATCCCTGGTTAGATCAGGTCTCCTGCAACCTAAACTACCATGGGCCCACTTGCACAAAGCGATCTTAGCGCTAAGACTATTGTAGTCCTATGTGAAAGTATGGGAGTTACGATCATCTTAGCGCTAAGATCGCTTTGTGCAAGCGGGCCCTGGTCTTATAGAGTCCACTTAATGGATCGGGTGGTCATGCTCGGTTATTTGGCTAATTACGTATCATGTTTTCAATCATTTGATTTACGGATTTTTTCCGAAATGAAATAGACTTTTAATATTAATATTTTTTTGTAAAAAGTATTGTCGTTCTGGTGAAACTGAAATAAAGATGACAGAGTATATTTTAGAATGACAAAAATGGTCAAATGTAACTTCGCTTCCTGTTTTAAAATTCTTTAAAGTTTTTCAATAGGTAGACTTAAATAAAACGTTTCTCAAAATTTTAGATCCACATTTGTAAAACTGATCCGCTAACAAGTAGTAAAAAGTCCCCAACAACGGGAAATCATAAGCTCAAAGCTTAAGACTATGCCGCTCGCACAGAAAGTGACGTCCAAACGCTCAAATGCTAATCGGGTTTTACAAAACACATTTGCAAAATCAAAGGCGTGGAATACCTTCACGCGCTGGGGCTCAGTCGCCTATAATGTCAATACACCATGACGTACATAGGAGCCGGTATATGTAGATGTCTGGACGCTAGCAACGAGTATTGCCTTGATGCAGGTGGAGGTTTATATACGCTTATGTGTTGGAGGCGGAGATTTCGTTTTAACAGTTAGTGAGGTGAAACGGGTTTTAACGTCGCAGTCAAGGTTATTGCACTTACATAATAATTAAAGCCACAAAACCATTTCCATATAGCCAATGGAAATCATTGCTTGTACGATTCTGACTATATCATGAGCATGTGTTTGAGAATATTATCAAATCGTAATGATAGCTTGTGTTCGCGAAAAGGTGAGCGTATCCTGTCCACCGGTGGCACCCGTCACAAACACATGCAAAGGAAAGTAAATTGTTCACCTAAAAATACACGGGAACATATGGTACAAGTCGAAATAGAGAATTGCATCGGGCATCATTTTTGTCACTGATGAGTCAAATGTCAACTTCTGAGCAAAAGTCGTATGACGCTCTTTAAAATCTTGGATGAAAGAGCATTCTCGATTGTTTATCAAAAGTTGTGAAGTGTAAACACCAAAGGCTGGAGCTGCTGGAATATTGCTCGACATGAGTGAGTGAGGGAATATGGTTTTACGCCGCTTTTAGCAATATTCCAGCAATATCACGGCAGGGAACACCAGAAATGGGCTTCACACATTGTACCCATGTCGGAATCGAACCCGGGTTTAAGGCGTGCAAGCGAACGCTTTAACCACTCGGCTACCCCACCGCCCCTGCTCGACATGAAGGTTGGTTGGTTTGCTGTTTAACGCCGCACTCAGCAATATTCCAGCTATATGACGACCGTCTGTAAATAATCGAGTCTGGACCAGACAATCCAGTGATTGACATCATAAACATCGATCCACGCAATTTGGAAACGATAACATGCATCAACCAAGTCAGCGAGCCTGACCATCCGATTCCGTTAGTGGCCCCTTACGACAAGCATGCTGCACAACGGACGATGGAAGACAAGGCCATACACAAACCTGAATTGGCATGTTTTGCATACAAGTCATATTCACCAGAGGGCTCATGTAAACAACTGCGGCTATTTTGAATGCCTTGAACAAACGCCGGTTAAATTGTACTGAACTTAAACCCCTCATTTCCCCTGAAGCCGGCCAGTGCCGATTGTAAAATGCGTGTGGTATAATCATTCTAAACATATGTTCGTAAATTACGAGATAGCCATAATATTTTACCGATATAATAATTGTACTGTCTTCCCCAAACGTGATTTAGCTTCTAGCAGTCATCAGTTTACCGATCCAACACTGAGGCTCAGTCTCGTAAAATATTGGAAAAAATTGAGATCTAAGATTTATAAGTTTATTATTTATAAGTTTATAAGTTCGACTTGATACAGCATGCAATGCTAAAAACCAATGTGGGGATTACTGGGGAACCCACAGGACCAATGTCGCTGTTGCGACCGACGAACGTTCTAAAACTAGCACTTCCGGTCCTAAGCGAAGCGCATGATTGAGAACCACTAAATAAAAAATCACTGTTACTTGTAACGGCACAATAATATACGACATTAGAATTTCATTTACAAGAGTCACGTACTTGTTTCTGTTTCCGCATGGTCCCAATGTGGCTGAAATACTGTAGATATAACTTGAAACTATAAACGTTAACTTACTAACCCTGTATGGTACGATTCGCCAAGTGGGCTACGTTACCACAAGTGTTATTTGATAACTACCAGGATTCGCTGATTGTAAGTTCGAATCCCAGACACCCAGTGATTAGTGAGTGAGTTGGGTTGTACGCCGCTTTTAGAAATATAACAGCACAATATCACGGCGGGGACACCAGAAATGGGTTTCACACATGTACACGTGTAGGGAATCGAACCCGTGTCTTCGGCGTGACGAGCGAACGCCTTAACCAAAAGGCTACGGCACCTCCCCAACTCAGTGATTATCAACTTTGGTTATCAGCAGTATATTCTGCGCTAAGTTATACAATAAAGAGGCAATATTATTGGCGATCCCCTCCCCCTTTTGCTGACCCCTAACGCACCCTCTCACTTCCCTAACGCACCCCCTCCCTTTGACCCGTGAAGATTCCGGGGTAGAATAGGTCTTCAGCAACCCAAGCTTGCCGTAAAAGGTGACTATGCTTGTCGTAAAAGGTGACTAACGGGATCGAATGGTCAGGCTCGCTGACTTGGTTGATGTATGTCATCAATCCCAATTGTGTGGATCGATGCTCATGTTATCAATCACTGGATTGTCTGGTCCAGACTCGATTATTTACAGACCGCTGTCATATAGCTGGAATATTGCTGAGTGCGGCTTTAAACAACAAACCAACCAACCAACCCCCTCCCTTCCCCACTCTTAGAAAATATTAACAACCTAAAATAAATGCAAAACAAATCAATAACAAAATTTCCCAGAAACACCCCCACCCCTATACCTTTAACATATGACCACTCCCTTTGTGTTTTTATGACATTAATATCGAACACATGTGTCAGACGGGGAACTGTTTCGAATGATTCATCCTGGCAATGCGACTTTTTTACAGATATCAAGTACAATACACACAAACACGCGCAAAAACAATAGATCGTAAACGGGACTTGAGATTGATGATTTACGTGAATACGACAGCGGAAAATCGATACCTGACATAATAAACAAGATACGCTTTTAAATGTTGTATGATTCAAGATAAGCGTTTACAATTTATCCACGGAAGATTAATAAGTTAAATATTTACAAAATATGTGTTTCTAACCAAACCTAACTTAAATTCGTGTAATTCTTGATATTAAATGCCATTACACTGAACAATAAAAGAAATCGATTTTTAGCAAAATTCAATTCACCTGTTATTTACATAGTCTACATCAACTAAGATAAAAATTGCATGATGTATTTATTGTCAACTGGAATATATAACGATTTCAATCATTACTTAGTATTTAATTTTTCGAATTCCGAAGACCTGTGATTTTATTGACAGAATATATTGTGAGACGACCCCTTCAGGTAACGACACCTGTCTATATTTAGTCGACACCAGAGTATATAGCGACAAGAGTCACGCGAAGAGCCCTGGACAATTACGAATTGGCCACTATGGCGAATCTGTTGGTACCATTTGTGATACTGGTATCTATATGTCACGGAAATACTCAAGATGTCGACAACACAGCCCTGAATATTTTCGAGGCTCTGTCGTCCACTTTGAATTGCGGCCAGGTAAGTCGTCAGTTGATGGGTAGATACAAAACTCGACACGGCAGCCATTTTGTCACATTTCCGTAAACAATGTCTCATGACGAAACAGTTTTACCATTCATTTGAATAAGTGTAGTCTCCATGAACGATTGTTACAGGTCATGTTTATTTATTGAATTAAATGTGCTAATTGTCATTTTACCTGGACGATCAAAGTGTGCCAGAAACTGAAATGAAACGTGACTCACTGGGTTGATTCAAACATTTTAGTCAGTTGTGACAATATGATTATGAGTTTATCTGAAAAGACAAAAGAAAATCTTGTAAGGTGTCCCCAAATTTACAATTTGATAAGATTATTTGGGCTGTTTGACTGTTAATGTGTTCGGAAATACACAGCATATCAAGTGAAGTGAGGTGAAATGGGATTTAATTAGGAGATAAACATACTGTGTTTTCAATGTAGAGCTAGGTTACCTGTAGATTTAACCCCGCTAAATTGAATTTGGAACCGAACGCGCAGCGTGAGGTTTCAAATGTTAAATTTAGCGCGGTAAAATCTACAGGTAACCTAGCTAGCTCTACATTGAAAACACAGTATGTTTATCTCCATTCTACCATGACTAAATAAAATGTGAACTCTTTGGTGTTAGCAAATATACTGAGTGAAGCGGCATGGGTTGAGTCTTGTGTTTTGAGTGGGTTATCGATCTGAATTACGGAATCACCGAACAAAATATGGCTCTGTATATACTCAAGCAGTTTGTTTACACCGTAATACTTCACTCGAACATATTACAGGCATTGAAAGCATATAAGCACGGCAACTTGGTAAGCTAAAATGAGGTGGGCATCCCTAAAGAAAACAAAGCAAGCTTTGCAAGGCTTTCGCTCTACATCGCGCGTCACCATTATGGCGTCATATCGCTTATTGTGATGCAAAAGATATGACGTCACAGTCGTGTATAGAAAAGCGCCAAAATTCCAAGCTCTCTGTTGTCTCCAAAACGTAAATACATTCCCTTTGTTGATTTCTGTCGGAATTTTCTGCACGAAATGTATTGCCACACATCGTTTGAATATTGTAGCAACCGCATCTGTGCATTTTGTAACCTGTAATTGTAGATATAGTTATTGAAATATGCCTACTGACAATGACTGAAAATAGTACTATTCTATGAATCTTAGCTTCCTCGATGCGGCCGTCAAACCAGCTGTTTCAATCAGAAGGGGTTTATTATGATTTAATAGCCTCTGATTGACCAATCAGAATCGAGTAAATTCCAAATTCATGGTAGAATGATCAACGATTGTTCATGATTGTTGCTTATTTATTACCCACAGGGTTAGAAATAACCGAGTTCATAAAAATCGCCACTTCACTTCACGCACAACGGTGTATTGTTTACGTCATTAAAATCTTATGTTGACATAAGTATGGAATGACGTCATACAAGAAATGACGTCACACAAGAAATGACGTCATAGCTGAATATTGTTGACGTCATTGGACAATTGTGCTTTTCTAAGACGGCAGTCGTGATCAGGGCATTTTGTAAAGGGGAGCCCGAAAAGAAAGAAATAATGTGTGATAAAGAACGTATTACACTCACGTGTGCATGAACTTATTTTATAAACCTATCAATGTATTACCCTATATTGTATTAGGTTCTGACAACCTCGTGTAAACCTAGTAACCTGTTACCAGCTAATCTTCCAAGCCCAAGTTTTGAGTGAGTGAGTGTGGTTTTACGCCATTTTTAGCACATTTCCAGGAATATCACACAAGAAATGTGCTTCACACATCGTACCCATGTCGGGAATCAAACCTGGGTCTTCGGCGTGATGTGCAAACGCTTTAACCATTAGGCTACCTGACCGCATTTCAGGCTGTGAGGGGGCACGGGTGGCCCAATCGTCTAAGGCGCCGCGATTCGCTGTGCAGAGTTGCGTCCCTTGGGCACTCCAGAAACCTATGATTGTTGGTTCGAATCCCGGTTCGCCCCGATTATGTTTCTAGGTTTGTCAGCACCATACCCGTGCTCGTGGGATTCACCTAAGTGGTAAACGTCTGAGACCTGCATCACTTCGTGCTTTCCTCCCACATTAAGCTGACACCCCGTGATATAACTGGAATACTGTTAAAAGCAGCGTTAAACCCAACTCACTCACTCACTGAGGCTGGGAGCATAAGCCACAAAATTTACGATCTTTCAGTTTTAACTCTGTTTGTTTCACCAAAATAATATTCTAACAAGAGCCCCCTATTTCTAATTTTGAGAGTGCCCTGGGTGCTTATTAGGTCGAATACAGTAACATTTTATGAACTTGCCTCTTGATGTGAACACAATTCTGTTTGATGATTGGTTAAAAGTCACAAAAGCTTTTTACAGGGAAAAGCCCAAGGGCCGAAAGACTTACAAAACTTCTGGAAGAATGCATGTATTACCCTTGCTCTCACTTGTGAAATATAAGAATTCTGACGCTTGAAAAATCTGTATGACACACATGCTTGCATAATAATGTCAATATATAGTGATGTGCATGTGTGTGTGTGTGTGTGTGTGACGTGTGTGTGTGTGTGTGTGTGATGTGTGTGTGTGTGTGTGTGTGTGTGTGTGTGTGTGTGTGTGTGTGTGTGTGTCTGCTTCAACTAATGCTGTCCTTATTTTACCCACGTTATGTCAAGGACCAGGCAGGGTGACAACAAGTACCATCTTTTAACATCTGTTCGTATGACATGGCCGGGAACTTAACCAACAACTTTCCGTTCTGCTCCCAGATGCTCTCGGCTAGGTGTGGAGCTGGTCGAGAATACTAGGACAGTTAACCAAAATATTGATATGGCGCCAATTTCTTGACTTGACCTGCTCCCAAGTCAGGTCTTGAACAGATAGTCAATGATAGCTAGGGGTAGCATGATCAGAAACCTCCTTCCGACTGGCACTTTCCTGATCTGGTAAGCAACTCTCTGATTGGTCAGGTCATTCTGTCGTGACCCGTAATGCAAGAACTGAGCGAGAACTAAGACCTGATTTTAATGAGATCGAAATGATCCACCTCTTGTTCTGTGTAACCATCTTGCACAAATCTGTTGAATATTCTAAACTGAGGGATAATCGGCAATGGAATAAGTTTTTTTTGCAAGTTTTTGCAACACATTTAATACAAGTACCATTTAGCTGCATTACACACAAAACAAAATCCACTTTTTAGTGGTGTTTAAATAATACCAGTGTTCGAAATCCCTGCCTGCCCGACCGTCTGAGACGGGTTGATTTCAACTCGGGCTGCCAGATTTTCAAATCCCCCTGCCCGACGGTCGGGTTATATTTCATATGTAAAAGTATTCTAAATATTTCCAGATGATAAGCATTATTTACATGATGTATTCTAGGATATTAAATACAAATCTGACCTAAAAAGTGTTTGCTATTTCATTTCTTGCATTACTTCATGTTCAATGAATTCGATTTAAAGTTTTAATTAAATTATCCTGAGAAACATATGATTATGGTGGGCAGGCAGGTTTTGGTCGGGGCTGGCAAGTATTTCTATACTATATGTGTATTCGAACATGTGTGGTTTTAACAGTCCCTTGATGCGGTGGAACTGTTGATGTTGATGGAAGATTTGGAACATTTAATTCCAAAGGCTCATTACCCTGGAGCCTTGAAACACTTAAAATGGCGGCGCAACCACCGCTTGGTTGCCTTGACGTAATGAAGAACGTAATAGAAGAGGCTCGATGATGAGCTGATCAAATTTATGACTACTTTGAAGATGTGGAGCTGCCTTTGCTCATTTCCTCGTTGATCCAGTCAAGAGTTTCTTCTTCCGCTGTCAAAGTCAGCCGCCATTTTGGTTTGACAACGAAGCGACATCAGCCAGCGATTGTTTTGCTTGCAAGCGGCGTAAAGTTAGCGCACTGTTGTAAGGCGAATCGCTGTACATCGCTTACAAGCGATTGGCGCTTTGCAACGCACCCAGGGAGAGAAAGGTCTTACCCTTAGCCTAGCTAGGGTTAGGCTGGGTGCTCCGGGGCACCAAGACAACAACCACTACCACTATGTGCTGACCTGGCACATAGTGTTGTTTTTATAAACAATCCTAGCTAGGCTAAGCAATTAAGTGATTCTAGACATACATATGTCATGGCTACAGGGTAATTAGCATTTGGAATTAAACGTTCATTCAGACAAAGGTTGTCCGAAATCGGTCGCCATGACAATACACTGGATAGTGGAGGGTGAACTTAAAAATACTTTCATATTACACTTGAACTTTTTAATATTATCAATAAAAAATGAAATTTGTTGATGACATGATGTTAGCATCATTTTGAAAATTTAGTAAGAACATTTAAAACTGACCGTGATAGTTTGTTTTTCAACCATTATCATAATAATACAGAGCTCCAGATAAGCTTTTGGTCTTATGGGTATTTTACCCATGCATTTTAAAATCATTGGGCATCAGTAATTCTATCTGGGTATTCACATTTCTGTTACCCACTAGTTTTTACACATGTGGATATTTAAGTTAAATATTTAAAAACACTTAGTCTCGTCCCTGCAAAGTGTTGTCGTGTGGGTTCGAGAGCTTTATAGGACTAAAAAATACCGCGATACTTCCACAAGAAAGTGTGATGGCAAATGATCATGATGTAACGGTCATTGTGGAGTTTGGCAAGAATCAGGGATGTGAAATCTCTGCGGAAACGCGGAAAATCACGTTTTTTAAAACAGTAGTCCTCGGAAAAAATCATGTTCCGCGTAAAAATTTAATCAAAAATTAAAAAAAAACACTCCGAAAAATATGATCGAAAACCGGACAACCGTCGCTGTTTGTCCTGTTTTCGATCAGAGCTTTCACCAGCATAGGTTTTCGGACATCATACGTTTTCTATCACGAATACTTGCACTATAACGTGGGGTGTGGCGTCACACAGAAATTGTAAATACTCAGAGTCAGCTGATGGCTTGTTTTTAAGATAAAGTTGTCTTTTAGCCTGTAAGTGAATGAGATGTTTTACAGTTGTTCATGTGATAAGCGAGAAATTTATGAATGTTTCTTCAGCGTCCAAAACCCCATGTCATGGGGATATATGTTGTATTAATGTCTTATGTTTGCAATGAGTTTTGTTTTTTTCATCAAAAGGTAAGTACAAGGTAAGTTTTTTTCAATATGCTTCAACATGGGGAAAGCATCAGACATTGCACGCTTGTGACAGTTGTCCTTGTGTCTGGGGGATGGGGGTTGAAGTTTATGGCAGTATTGCTCCCAGACCTGGCGGGTAGCCAGGTGCGCGAAAGCTATGCCCGGTTTTTTAAAAGTACTGATTTAACTTAGAAATTTTACTGCATCTGCCATCTTGTTTATTTGACTTTTGCCATTGACTTATTACATTTCTTGGTGTGAATATTGTCCAAACTGCACGAAATTGCTTCAAATGCAATCAAATGTTTAAAAAATTTCTGGTGGGGCATGCCCCCAGACCCCCCTAGACGTTTCCTCTTTTTTCGGGAAAACCTGCTCACATCCCTGAAGAATGTCCAAAATAATATATAATTTCAAAATAAGTTTGATTTGCTAATCGAATACGCAGGTTTAATTCACAATATTTTGATGATATGCTCTAGTTTTATTTTTGTAGCGTATCTGTAATGTTTGTTGCGTATTTGATACACTTGAATTTTATTTCAACGCATATTTCTGCATTTCTGATGTGTATTTTACGCAGATACGCAGCTTATCTGGAGCTCTGATACCACAAATTATACTGATACCGTATTCGACGTAATAAGCGCCATGCTCTAATAAGCGCTCACGGCGATATTTGCTAACATATTGGCTGGTGAACAATCCCCAGTAGCACCCCTTCCGATTGATCAATGTGCACAAGACTTATTTATTCGCGTATAATACGCACTCATGTGTTATATGTACCCTTAATTATGGGCAATTAAATTCATGAAAAATAAATCTGTCGTTTATAAACATTTCATATAAACCACGAAATTTATACTTTATTTCTGTTTGTTTCACCAAAATAATATTCTAATAAGTGCCCCCTATTTCTAATTTTGAGAGCGCCCTTGGCGCTTATTACGTCAAATACCATATTCAGTTTCCAGGATAATATTCCCAGTGTGAAATACACATTCTGTTAATGATACTGTTTGGTATGTTGCTACGTTGTTGAAATGTAATATATCAAGTGAGCAGTGAGTATCACCTGGTGAATAATTAATTACCTATGTAAACATGACTATGTTATGAACTTTGTAATGAGCACCTGTCAATCACTATGATGGACTGTTAGTCATGGTGATGACATCATCAATTAGGGAGGATAAATTCATCAATTAGGATAAATTTCTGAAAAATCTGACATTCCTCTTTCAAGAACTATTTTGTTTATTCTTGGAATGAGGCATCTGGTTATTGATCAAAGCTGTCACAATTCCTTATTGATGGAATTTGATGTGATACCAGTTATTCAGGAAGTTTTTAATAATATTTTTGCCCTTTGAATAGGGTTGTTAGGATTCACTCGCGTATTCGGTGAATCGAACTGTATCCATTCATGAATTGAATTCATTATTCGTGCCCAATAGAATCTAATAATCATGAATATGCAGTCATGTTCATTTACATACCCTGTATCTAAAAATATCCATAAGAACATATTATCAGCTGATTATATGCATAGATTTCTTGAAAGACAACAAACACTCTTATAACATTTAATTTGACAGCATTGTGGTCACTGGTCATTGTCGCATTTGAGCAGACACTAGTACCTGGGTAAGTGCAGTATATAAATGTATAATATGTTAATAATTAACAAACCGTGTCAAATAATTTGTGTTGCTTTTGTTTCACTGAATATAACAAACTGCATCAACTGCTGACTTAATTAAAATTAATATTCGTATTTGTTAATCTATATTTGTGATACGAATCGCATTTGCCTCATAGTGTATTCGAGGGGGAACTGTTGGCCAAGTCGTCTAAGGCGCCGCGATTGGCTGTGCAGAATTGCATCCGTTGGGCACGCCAGAAACCTATGATTGTGGGTTTGAATCCCGGTTCGCCCCAATTATGTTTCTAGGTTTGTCAGCACCATAACCGCGCTCGTGGGTTTCACCGAAGTGGTAAACGTCTGAAACCTGCATCACTTCGGGCTTTCCTCCCACATTAAGCTGACACGCCATGATATAACTGGAATTCTGTTAAAAGCGGCGCTAAACCCAACTCACTCACTCACTCATAGTGTATTCGTTGCAGCCCTATCTTTGAACATGTTAAAATATAAAAATGCACACAAAATTGCCACGAATTATGTTTTGCGATTATGTATCGTATTGGGGGATGGCCATATACATGATATAGTGACACCCTAACTATAATTTGCTTCCAGTCAACCCGGGTGCTGATGGTGTATTTTTTGTCCTCAGTTCAAGAATCTTGTGATTGCAAGCGGGATGCAGGTACAAGACTTCTTCAAGATGGGTCAGTCGCTGACCCTGTTTGCCCCGAATGACACTGCGTTCGAACAGATGCTTCCAGACAAGCGACAGAAGCTGTTCAGCATGACAGCCACCGAGAAGGCCGACTACGTGAAGTCGTTCACATGTAAGTTGAGTGTACAGTGCAGAGTTGTGTACCTTATCCTCCCACATTAAGCTGACATGCCACGATATAACTGGAATACTGTTAAAAGCGGCGTTAAACCCAACTCACTCACTCACTCACTAAAATGGCACACTCAATTTGCTTCCATTATAATCGAACCAAGCACTCGCTCACCATGCTCACGGAACTTCCTGCACTAAAATAAAGGTGTGATTAAAATCCTGATAGACATAGTTTGACCTTGACCCTTGACCTTGGTGTTTGAACTTGACCCTTGACCTTGATGTTTGACCTTGACCTTTCAGTAACCAAGGTATTGCAGACCTCCAGCATGACCGAGTTCCTGATAGAGAAAAGCCAGGGCGCACTAGGAAATACCAATATATTCTTCTACAAGAGAGAAAGGAAGCGGGATGTAAGTGTTTTTCAGGACAATCTCATTGGTGTTGCGTCTTTTACTCAGATACCCTGATACGATAGCTCTGTGTGTGAAGGTCAGATGAAACCTCCCTACAACCCAGAGCGAACTTTGAACGCCCAGCCTATATGAAGGATGCGTGGGTTCTTGAGCCAATCATGTTTCAAAATAGATTTGGCTTCATTTTTGTACAAACTGGATACAGAGCATTCAATCTTAGCTGAAAAACCCCGAGAAGGATCAGAGATATACCTAAATAGTACACCCTTGTAGATGGCATGGCACTCAGAAATGACATGTTACAATAGCACAGCTTTACTCTTTGGCACTCAGAACTGCCTGACTATCTTCGTTTTCAAGATGGGTTGGTTGGGTAGCCTAGTGGTTGAAGCGTTCGTTGGTCACGCCGAAGATCCGGGTTTGATTCCCGACATGGGTACAATGTGTGAAGCCCATTTCTGGTGTCCTCCCGCCGTGATATTGCTGGAATATTGCTAAAAGCGGCGTAAAACCATACTCACTCACTCACTCACTCGTTTTCAAGATACACATAAAGAACACTACTTCCTATGGAGATTTCCTCAGAGCTTCATGCAGACTGGTATCGTATCGGGGTTAAGGTCTGATTTTAATGAGGCTCGTAATGTACATAGTTACCAGTCACATTATTTTAGATCGAAAACATGTTCCTTTTTTCACAGTTTTCCTCAGTTTGCTTTAAAATTTAAGTTTCAATTCAAAATACATGCTGCTTGGTATAGGCCAGGGCCCTGTTCCACAAAGCGATCTTAGCGCTACGATTGTCGTAAGTCAGTGTTAAAGAATGGGAGTTTTGATCGACTTAGCGCTAAGATCACTTTGTGGAACAGGGCCCTCTACTGGCTGTCTCAGACCAAAAAGAGATGGAACATTATTTAAAATGCTTTTCACACAGTTTAAGGTGATAAATAAACTTTATATTTGTTATATGTTCAAATTAAACATTTCAGCGTGTAAAATGTAGACGATTGGTAAGAAACTACATAAATTAGCAGGAAAATAGCATATGGATTGGTATGGGAGAGCCTGTGACTGATGATTTGCAGTCCTGCCTGTGTACTAGTGTAACCATGGTAACAGCTCCAGTATAATGGGACCTCCCTCCAAGCTGTGGAAAATAGCATGTACCAGATTCGACGTAATAAGCGCACCGCTCTAATAAGCGCCCACAGCGATATTTGTTAATATATATACTTGTGAACAATTCCAATTAACACCCCTCCCGGTTGATCAATGTACACAAGTCTTATTTATTCCCGTATAATACGCACTCGTGTGTTATATGCACCCTTAATTATGGGCAATTATATTCTGGAAAAATATATCTGTCGTATATAAACATTTCAGGCTGACTGGTCAGCATAAACCACGAAATTTATCTTTTAACTCGTTTTTTTCACCACAATAATTTTCTAATAAGAGCCCCCTAATTCTAATTTTGAGAGAGCCCTGGGCGCTTATTACGTCAAATACGGTAATTGGGACCAGGAACATGAAATTTTGAGTGGTGGGCTGGTGATGATGTTCATTATTGGTGACTGATGTTGTTATCCCCCACCATGAAGTGGAAGGGGGATATAGGGATGGGTGCTGTCCGTCGATCCTTCCGCTCTTCCGTCTGTCACGTTTCATTTCTGGAGCAGAACTAAAAAAATATGAGAGATATCCTAACCAATCTTGGAACATAGATAGGTCTAGTGGTGAATACGGTAATTGGGACCAGGAACATGAAATTTTGAGTGGTGTGCTGGTGATGATGTTCATTATTGGTATCACCCAAACTCACTCACTCAAAGTGGCTTGTAGAAGCATGGATTTTTGCAGGAAATTGATTGACACAAGGCTAGATAATATAACTAGAGGCTAGTAAACGTTACAAAAGGCTTGAAATCTTTATTTAATTACTGCTTTAATCATGTAATGTCTCTGTTACTCCATGCATGGGTAGATGTTCCTATACCAATATACTTGCATGTGGTGAACAGTGGAATGCAGAGTTGAATAATACCATCAATAGCATGAAAGTTTCAAACCTGACTCTCATTCATTTGAACATGAGGCAGGGTGTGTCAGTTTGCTGATGGTGTTTACCTCTTGGTCATGTGGACAAGGTGTCTTACCTCAGATCAGATGGTCCTGGGTTCGAATCTCATCACAGGACTTGGAAATGTTATGACTGGTACATTGGCCTCCAAAGTGGCCAGGACCATGTTCTTATCACATTTAAGCAGAATATGTCTTACAGTCCGTTTGACTCCAAATGAGAACAATGAATTGCAAAATAAGTGTATGAAACATCAATACGGTACTTGACCATGAATACCCTGTACCCAACAAAATCTGAATTTTGTTTAATTTAAGACCCATGACGGATGAAGTTCTTTAAGAAACTATCATGTAATTTTGTATAGAAATGTGTACGTGACACGTAGGGGGACAAACCGTGGAAGGAACAGCGCAAGCACGGTCTGCACGTGCTACACAGTGACCGTGTTCATTCAATGACAAGATGCACTACTCTTGTCATGCGCAGATGTTAAACAGTTGATGTTGAATGTGTATGATTTCTTTAGAAGTGAAGCAGAAAGAGCAAAGCCATTTTATGCAATTAATAAATTCTTGAAACGAGCTTCAAAAGCTCTGGGTATGTCCCCTCAGAAACTTAAAAATGAGATACAAATAGTCAGGCCCAGGAGGTAGGGAACATGTCAAAACCACGCAAGGTTGATAAATTAGACAGTTTTCAGAGGGATCAAGTCAGACGTGCAATTGTTAAGCTGCACTCAGAAAATAAGAACCTGTCCCTAAGAATTTTGAAGAAACACCTTGAAACTGACCATGATTTACGTGTTACAAAGTACAAACTATGGCAGCTGTTGCATACATTTGGTTACAAATACAAAAAGATAACTGGAGAAAATAGGTCTGTGTTGTGTGAACGGTCTGACATTGTTCGTCTCCGAAATCATTACCTTCGTACCATCAAGCAGAAACGTGAAGAAGGATATGAGCCCGTCTTCTTAGATGAGACATGGGTAAATGCGTCACACACAGCCAGCAGTCAGTGGGTACCCAGTGGTGACTGTAAGGAGTCTGGTAGAAAGTTACCAATGGGAAAGGGTGAAAGACTCATAGTTCTCCATGCTGGTTTTGCTAGTCAGGGTTTTCTCCCAGACTGTGACCTCGTCTTTAGAGCCAAGGCCAAAGACAACAGGGACTACCACACAGAAATGAATGGCAATGTATTTCTGGATTGGGTGAAAGATAAATTAGTCCCTGCTTTGCCTACCAAGTCTCTCATTGTCATGGACAATGCACCGTATCATAGTGTGCAGGATCCAGAAAGCAAGATGGAGGAACATTACCTTTCCTTCTCGAGCGACGAAACCACAGCTCTATGAAATCATCAAAACTATGAAACCTGACAGTTACATCAAGGGTCAGGGTCACGCTGTCTTGCGACTGCCACCTTATCGCTGCGACCTGAATCCAATCAAGTTGGTATGGAGCATCGTCAAGGGTGACGTTGGACGATCGAACACAACGTTCAAATTACGAGACGTTGAACAACTCGTAAAGGAATCCCTTGGTCGGGTAACAGTAGAAACATGGAGGCGTTGTGTGGCCACAGTCGTTGACGAGATAGAGCCACGTTATTGGTCACGAGATGGACTACGGCCAGCAACAGTCCAACCTATAATAGTGGCAGTCGGTTCAGGCACCAGCAGTTCCGACGACGAGATCTGTGGCATGAGCGAGTCAGATTGCGACTGAAATTATCATGAGACGGCCCCTCTAACGCTCTGTCATTTCCCCTACCACAGAATGTGCAGTGCATGCGTGCTTGCGCTGTGCCTTCCACGGTTTGTCCCCCCTACGTGTCATGTACACATTTCTATACAAAATTACATGATAGTTTCTTAAAGAACTTCATCAATCCTGGGTCTTAAAATAAACAAAATTCAGATTTTGTTGGGTACAGGGTATTCATGGTCAAGTACCGTATTGATGTTTCATACACTTTTCTGGATTTCGAGTTATTTTGCAATTCAACGTTCTCATTTGGAGTCAAACGGACTGTAGTTCCCTACACAGCCCTGGACGTGCTTCTGTTGACAAGGGGCGGTCGGGTAGCCTAGTGGTTAAAGCGTTCGCTCGTCATGCCGAAGACCCGGTTTCGATTCCCGACATGGGTACAATGTGTGAAGCCCATTTCTGGTGTGCCCCGCCGTGATATTGCTGGAATATTGCTAAAAGCGGCGTAAAACAATAATCACTCACTCTGTTGACAATGGAGTATGTTGCAGGTGTGCATCTTCCCAAGGCAAGGGAGTTAACTGACTATAAAAGTCCAGTTTCCACCCTTGCCGAACTAGGCTGGAATTCAGGAGTTACGTTTGGCTGGACTTACAAATCCATGCATAGTTCAATCAAAATCTGGTAACGAGCTATACATCCACTTCTTAAACAACATGGACTTAAGATTGCTGATTTCGGTCAACTGCAGGTTTTGCGAAGCATGTGTACTGTCAACTGGGCGTTGACAGCTATTTTCCAAATCTTTTCATATTTTTAATCACCTTTTGATCAAGGTGCTCAAGTGATTTGATGCACTTCATGAAGTAAGACCAATTTTATTACAATATAGATCTTGATTAATTGATCAGAGATAATCTACGATCGAGCCACGAAATTCCAGCCTAGTTCGGCATCTCACAGATGATGACATCCTCACCAGCTTGCTGACGGGATTAACCTCTTTTTGTCATGTGGATAAGGTATCAGAGCTTGGATCAGAAGGTTCATGGATAGAATTTTATTGTATTACATGGAAATTATATGTGTGCTACAAAAACACCTGGGTGCTGTTGTACAAAGCTATCTTAGCGCTTAGATGATCGTAACTCTCATACCTTAACATAGACTTAAGACAGTCGTAGCGCTAAGGTTGTTTTGTACGACGGTAAAATGTTACGGATGTGATCTGTGGATAGAATGGGTCCCCAGCAACCAATGCTGATCGTTCATGTATTGGATGGTCAGGCTCGGTAACTTGTTGATTGTGTGTCATAGTACCTTGATGACATCATCGGATACGATGTTCACAATCACTAGTTTGTCTGGTCTAGACTTGATTATTTACAGGCTGCGGTAAAATCATCTTTTCCTCGGAAATGAACCCACGCCTGTGAAGATCCAGGGTAGAATAGGGCTTCAGAAACCCATGCTTGCCGTAAAAGGTGACTATGCTTGTCGTAAGAGGCGACTAACGGGATCGGTTGGTCAGACTCGTTGACTTGATTGATGCATGTTATCGTATCCCAATTGGGTGGATCGATGTTCATGATATCAATTACTGGATTGTCTGGTCCAGTCTCGATTATTTACAGACCGCCGTCATATAGCTGGAATATTGCTGAGTGCGGCGTTAAACAACAAACAAACAAACAAACAAAGTGGAATTGATGCCCCTTTGCATGAAGATCTGGCGACACCACCCTAGAAGGTTGCGTCATACTGAACCCTCAGCGAACTAAGATCGCCCAATAAAATTCAGAGATGAATTCTTGAGCCAATCAGATGTCAGCTTTAAAAAATAATTTTACTTAATTTCTTTACTGCCTTTATTCGGGAAAAACTGCACAGAACTCAAATATTCCCTTTATGGAACACCCGTTTGGGTGTAAATGCCATGGGATTCAGAAATGACAAGATGTATAAAATATGTACAATAATATAACACCAGCTTTATTGTTTTGGATTCTGATCTGCTTGATCTTTTTTTGTTCACATTATCATGATTATAACTCCACGATCTTGTATCAAGAATTTAGCAGCCTTGACTCTGATTGGCTGATTCGAAAATTCTGACACACTCTCTTCTGAAGGTGTTGAGAGATCTTCTTGTTGAGAGTGGTTGTATCAGAGTACTAGGTCTGAGTTTCATGTAATTTAAGCTGTCCATTATATTTCATAGAATATAGTCAGCGGTCTAGCTGGTCGGACAGAATACTACGCTAATGGAGCTCTGATCTACAAGCCTGATGTCCGCACGCAGAATGGAATTGTCCACATCATCGACCGTGTCCTTGACCCCATCGTGCCGTATGGAGTGTACGGCTACATTCAGAGGCCGGACATTCTGCAGCCCGCTTTAAAGTAAGTTTGGAGCATGAGGATAAATGATGCTTTTTAATCACCATCACGTAATCATTTATTTCCGCTTGACCATTACTTCATCTTTCCCTTTCCTCTGCAGCACTCAGATGACAAAACATACCGTATTCGACGTAATAAGCGCCCCGCTCTTATAAGCGCCCACGGTGATATTTGCTAATATTTTGGCTCGTGAACAATCCCAATTAGCACCCTTTCCGATTGATCAATGTACACAATACTTATTTATTCGCGTATAATACGCACTCGTGTGTTATATGCACCCTTAATTATGGGCAATTAAATTCTGGAAAAATATATCTCTCGTATATAAACATTTCAGGCTGTCAGCATAAACCACGGAATTTAATCTTTGAACTCTGTTTTTTTTGGACAAAATAATATTCTAATAAGAGCCCCCCTATTTCTAATTTTGAGAGCGCCCTGGGCACTTATTACGTCGAATACGGTATGTCATTACTGATTTCTCCAGTAATGTCTGTTTTTGTTCCTCTCCAGAATGAAGTTTTTCACGGAAGTTGCCGAGTACGTTCGTGGAGAGTACTACGCCCAGGCCATCAGCCCACTAACCAACAGCCTCCGCTTCACCATGTTTGTCCCTACCGATGAGGCCATCAACAAAATACCGAAGGAAAAGCTGGATGAACTCCGCTCAAAACAACCCGAGCTGGCCAGAGTATGTACTCATACAACGTCATTCCGACAATATACTCTTTTAGTTTAAGGGTGGGGGGGCACGGGTGGCCCAGTCGTCTAAGGCACCGCAATTCGCTGTGCAGAGTTGCGTCTCTTGGGCACGCCAGAAACCTATGATTGTGGGTTCGAATCCCGGTTCGCCCCAATTATGTGTCTAGGTTTGTCAGCATCATATCCGTGCTCGTGGGTTTCACCGAAGTGGTAAACGTCTGAGACCTGCATCACTTGGGGCTTTCCTCCCACATTAAGCTGAAACGCCGTGATATAACTGGAATACTGTTAAAAGCGGTGTTAACCCCAACTCACTCACTCACTAGTTTAAGGGTGGCCTTGTTGTCTAAGGAACGGCAGGACAGCCTCAGTGGTCTAGTGGTAGAGCGTCCACCCGGAGAGCGGAAGGTTTGGGGTTTCGATCCCCGGCCGCGTCATACCAAAAGATGTTAAAAGATGGTACTTGTTGTTACCCTGTCTGGCGCTCTGCATTAAGGGGCTAAAACAAGGACTGGTCGGCTCGGAGTCAGTATACTGTGTCTGAGTAGGGTATTCATGTTAAACTGCGGCATGGTATCTCAGTGGGCTAGCACTATAAATCGGCATCAGTCCGGACTTGTACCAGTAGCCACACACACACACGTACATGCACGTTGCTACATAAGTGCAATAATTTTGGACGCAACGTTAAACCCCATTTCACCTCACCTCTAAGGAACTGCAAGTCACTGTGTAGAGTTGCATCCCTTGGGCATGCTAGAAAGTTAAAATCATGGTTTAAATCCCGGTTCGCCCCAACATTCTAACCAACTCACTCACGCACGCACACTGCACCCTTCCTGTTCACAATAGATATGGACCCGTGAAGATCCAGGTTAGAAAAGGTCTTCAGCAACTCATGCTTGCCGTAGGAGGCGACTATTGGGATCAGGTGGTTAGCCTCGCTGACTTGGTTGATGCATGTCATCATATCCCAATTTCGTGGATCAATGCTCATGATGCCATTTATTGGATTGTTTGGTCCAGACTTGATTATTTACAGACCGCCGTCATATAGCTGGAATATTGCTGAGTGTGGCATCTAACAACAAACAAACACACAAACAAACAAACAATAGATATGAATAAACATACAGTTATATATTTGGGAGTATTTGGAATTACCAACTCTCAACGTGGAATCACTGATTATTACCAAGGCTGAAGATTGTCTCTACGTTTGCTAATGATGTGCACCCTCCATTTTGGAGTTCAGTGTTTGGATAATTATGTTTGTCATATGCACTGAGGTGTCGAAAATTGGTTCATTCAGAACAGATAATCAGGAATCCCTTGAAGACGGTAAATGATTACGGTGTATTTTTGTGTCCAGGTTATCAAGCAGCATGCAATTCCCAACAAGGCCGTGTACACGTCGTTTGTGAACCACAACGAGGGCTTTCAGTGCTTGGACGGAAGGGCAGTTTTCAAAAAAAATATCCGAGAATCTGGTAAGCACGTCAATCAGATTTGAAAAGACTTCACTGTCCATTGGTTTTCTCATTCAAACAGAGCTCCAGATAAGCTGGGTATCTGCGTAAAATACGCAGCAGAAATGCAGAAATACGCAGTAAAATAAAATTTAAGCGTATCAAATACGCAACGAACATTACAGATACGCTACAAAAATAAAACTTGTGCGTATCATCAAAATATTGTGAAGTAACCCTGCGTATTCGATTAGCAAATCAGAAACTTATTTTGAAATTATAAACTGACATTTCGTCAACCTTGCCAAACTCCACGATGACAGTTACATCATGATCATTTGCCATCACACTTTCTTGTGGAAGTATCATGGTAGTTTTGAGTCCTATAAAGCTCTCGAACCCACACGACACCAGTTTGCAGGGACTAGATGAATAGTGTTTTTAAATATTTACCTTAAATACCCACATGTGTAAAAACTAGTGGGTGACAGAAATTTGAATACCCAGACACAATTACTGATACCCAATGATTTTAAAATGCATGGGTAAAATACCCACAGCACCAAAAGCTTATCTGGAGCTCTGATTCAAATCATTGAATCAATCATGAGATCTGTTATTAATAGGGGCGGTCGGGTAGCCTAGTGGTTAAAGCGTTCGCTCGTCACGCCGAAGACCGGGTTCGATTCCCGACATGGGTACAATGTGTGAAGCCCATTTCTGGTGTCCCCCGCCGTGATATTGCTGGAATATTGCTAAAAGCGGCGTAAAACCATACTCACTCACTCACTGTTATTATTATTTGTACCAATTAGTTAAGGTCATTTTAATGAATTTGGGGGTCTAATAAAACTGAGCCTGACATTTAAAAAAATCAGAACCATAAGTGCTGATAGAAGACAAGACTTCAAAAGCCCTGTATGGGCAATATTTGAAGTGTTTGTTTCAGTCAGTGAATAAATGTGATTCACTTAGGAAATTCATAAAATGCCTAAATATTGATCAAGGGTTTGTGCAGTGGATTTCTGTGGTCTCTGAGAGTTTTCTTAATTGAGAGGATTAGGACGTTGTCAAACTGAATTTGATGGGAGGAGAACATTTGCTGGTGGTCTGAGAGAACTGATTTGCTGTCTGCTTTGGCTGTCGAAGTTTTATGTTCTTTGATGCCAGTAACTACTCGGTGAGAGGTTTCATGTAAATCCTTGAAATACTACGTCCCTGTCACTCTCCTACCCAGAGTTCCATGCGTCCGGCAGCCAGCCAGCATAGTACCTCTGCCACAGGCCAGCGCCATGTGATGATTCGTCACATCTTACACAGTCCATTCAAGATACTTGTTTTTGCGTAGTTATCCTTTGTTTACATTGTTTGTACGGCTCCACGTGCTGTCACCGAAGCCCGACAGAGAGCTAGCGATACGGTCACTTTGATGTATAAATATATATTGTCATGCAACTCACTGTAGCAGTTGTAGTAGCATATCTATATAATTATGCAAAACAATATGTAAAGCGTCCCCAACTACAGGAATTAGTTTGTTCTATACTGATTTCTGGAAAAGCGTGTTTGTTTACAAACAAGAGAAAAGTCCGGTCACGTGATATGCAAATTAGCCTGTGGAAGTGGTGTTATGCTGAGTGCCGGAGTGTCTCAGGAGCACTGAGTAAGTGGGTGTTGTCACTATTTCTAAACAGAGAACAAGCCATGGGCATCTTCCCGAGGCAAGAGAGTTAACTGACTTTAAAAATCCCGTTTCCACCCTTGCTGAACTAGGCTGGAATTCCTGGGCTTGATCGTAGCACCATGTTTGATACATGTTTCTAAATAGTTTTTGCCAGGGCTGCAGTAAAACAATTCCCAATCAGACATTTTGTTCCCAACTCTTGAGACCTTCCGTGGGTACCCGGGTCGGGTCGGGTAATAGGGGGTCGGGTACCTGGGTATTAAATTTGGACTTGTCCCAGCCCTACCTTCCGTATCAAACTTCAGATTTCATGTATTGAGTAGGATGTATTTTTTAATTCAAATATTTCAATACCTAATTCCTAAGAAAATTGACGATCCCTGACCAACAAATGATCATCACCTGTATGTGGAAATGTATAGACCCGTGAAGATTAGGGGTAGAATAGGTCTTCAGCATCCCATGCTTGCCTTAAAAGGCGACTATGCTTGTCATAAAAGGCAACTTACGGGATCGGGTGGTCAGGCTCGCCGACTTGGTTGATGCATGTCATCAATCCCAATTGCGTGGATCAATGCTCATGATATCAATCACTGGATTGTCTGGTCCAGACTCGATTATTTACAGACTGCCGTCATATAGCTGGAATATTGCTGAGTGTGGCGTAAAACAACAAACAAACAAACAAAACAAACAAATTTATGACACAGTATTGTTTTTGTTCAGTATATGTGAGCGCAGGAGGCGTCAATGCACTCATCGCCAGGGGCAACCTAACTCTGTCCAATGGCGTGATCCACTTTGTGGACACTCTGCTTGGCTTCGTCTACAACACAGCCAGGGAACAGATCCAGCTCGACAGTGTTCTCAGGTAGTGACCTTCACCTTTCTGTTCCCATGTAGATGGGAGTAACCTCCCTAGATGTTCATCTTCTTAAATTTTGTTATGGATTGTTTGAGTTGGGCAGGGGAGATAACTCTTGTCAGTTTACTAAATGATTCAGATCCTGAAATTTGTTTATCTGATGATTCGTTGAAAAAGCAAGTTTTTCGATATGGGGATTCCACTGTACAAAATACAGCCTGGTCAAGATGACAAAGTGACCGATATTTGAGGATAAATTTGCTTAGGACTACCATTTCAGCATTCCTCACTTTTTATTTAAAGTTGACTGACGTCTTCAGTTTTTCACTGGGGCACAAAAGGTTACAACATGCTCATGAAGATCTGTAACTAACACAGCAGACCCGTGAAGATCCGGGGTAGAATACATCTTCAGCAACCAATGCTTGCTGTAAAAGGCAACTATGCTTGTCGTAAAAGGCGACTAACGGGATCAGGTGGTCAGGCTCGCTGACTTGGTTGATGCATGTCATCGATCCCAATTGCGTGGATCGATGCTCATGATATTAATCACTGGATTGTCTGGTCCAGTCTCGATTATTTACAGACCACCGTCATATAGCTTGAATATTGCTGAGTGCGGCGTTAAACAACAAACAAACAAGTTTAATGAACATGTGAAGATCTGGGTAGAAAATAGGTCTTCAGAAACCCATGCTGTAAGAGACGACTAGTGGGATTGGATGGTCAGGCTTGCATATTGGTTGATGCATGTCATCGTATCCCAATCACTGGATCCAGATTCAATCATTATCAGACCGCTGTCATATAGCTGGAATATTGCTGAGTGCGGCGTTAAACAACAAACAAGTTTAATAATGTACAAACACTTCAAATCCAGGGGGGGGGGGGGTCGAGCGGCGGTTAGGTAGCCTAGTGGTTAAAGCTTTCGCTCATCACGCCGAAGACCTGGGTTCGATTTCCGACATGGGTACAATGTGTGAAGCCTATTTCTGGTGTCCCCCGCCTTATAATGCTGCAATATTGCTAAAAGCGGCGTAAAACCACACTCGCTCACTCACTCGCTCGCTCACTCACTCCTCTCACTCACTCACTCACTCACTCACTCACTCACTCACTCACTCACTCACTCACTCACTCACTCACTCACTCACTCACTCACTCAGTTGACACATGTCCATAAAATTCCTTGAATATGATGATGTGAAAACAAACTCAGGAATTCTAAGGATGTTAAATAGTAATTTCATCGGTTTTCTTTGCAGCCAATTCCGTCAAGTGCTTGATCGAAGTCGGAAGGACCTACAGGATTTCTTAGTCGTGTCTAGTGGCGTTACATTATTTGTGCCCATGAACGATGCTTTCACCAAAATCCAAAATCTGCCTGGCGTCGACTTCTTCAACAACCAGACTCTGATCAATTATGTGAGTTATCGAAATGTGTTCTGGGATTTATCTAGACCTGCTTGGAGACGGATTCTCCGCCCTCAGTTAGCTGCAAATGTCAGTAAATACTGTAAATCGTGAAATTAATACGTCTCCAAGATAATGCGACCACTGGACCCTAGCCAAAAATGCGACTCAATATGAATGCGACACCCCCCTCCTCTCAAGCATCAGTGGATTTCTATCTAAAGATGTCCTCAGTCAGGTTTAGAATCCTCACCTTAATCCAACCTTACATTAATCCTATCACACACCAAATAGCACCACTTATTAGTTCTGAGTAAAGTACTTCTGCAAAAAACCTATGATTGTGGGTTCGAATCCCGGTTCGCCACGATTATGTTTCGAGGTTTGTCAGCACTATACCCGTGCTCGTGGGTTTCACCAAAGTTGTAAACGTCTGAGACCTGCATCACTTCGGGCTTTCCTCCCACATTAAGCTGACACGCCGTGATATAACTGGACTACTGTGAAAAGCGGTGTTAAACCCAACTCACTCACTCACACACAGGTGAGCTAAAATGTTTTGTTTGTGATGCAACAATCTTCTCGGTGCAGGTGACGGAGCTGCACATGCTGGAGCCTGGCCTAGAGTTCGCCATCACCAACGTCAACGGAGACTACCAGGCTAGGGTTGAGACACCGTCCCAGTACCGCGGCTGGAACATCAAGATCTACAGTCAGGGCAACGGTAGGTCGGTCAACTGTTACAGCTCCTAGTGCTGCATTGTGGGTCATCAGTGTTAGACTGATAGCCAGAGGCAGTGGTCAGTGGGTTACAGCTTGTAGAGCTGCATTGTGGGTCATCAGTGTTAGACTGATAGCCAGAGGCAGTGGTCAGTGGGTTACAGCTTGTAGAGCTGCATTGTGGGTCATCAGTGTTAGACTGATAGCGAGAGGCAGTGAGTTACAGCTTGTAGAGCTGCATTGTGGGACATCAGTGTTAGACTGATAGCCAGAGGCAGTGAGTTACAGCTTGTAGAGCTGCATTGTGGGTCATCAGTGTTAGACTGATAGCGAGAGGCAGTGGTCAGTGAGTTACAGCTTGTAGAGCTGCATTGTGGGTCATCAGTGTTAGACTGATAGCCAGAGCTAGTGGCCACGGAGGTACAACAGCTGATTAACCAACATCAATACGAAATTCTCAATGCAGGAAAAGTCAATACCCGGTAATTTGGACAAGTTGACCTTTTCTCCAGACAGGTGAGGGGCGTTCGGGTAGCCTAGTGGTTAAAGCGTTCGCTCCTCAAGCCGAAGACCCGGGTTTGATTCCCGACATGGGTACAATGTGTGAAGCCCATTTCTGGTGTCCCCTGCCGTGATATTGCTAGAATATTGCTAAAAGCGGCATAAAACCCTACTCACACACTCACTCCAGACAGGTGAAGTTTCAGTTGGGATTCCAAGAATACAGGTTCCATGGTTGTCTCACTGTTGAGATTCCGAGTAAGAGTGGCTTGCTGACTTGGATAATGCATGTCATCGTATCCCAATTGTGTGGATTGATGCTCATGAAGTCAATCACTGGATTGTCTGGTCCAGACTCGATTATTTACAGACTGCCGTCATATAGCTTGAATATTGCTGAGTGCGGCATTAAACAACAAACGAAAACAAACAAATAGTAATACAATGTTTCTCCTTCTCAGACACATGGGCTGAAGGTGGGTATGTGAAGACCCGCGTGATCCGCCCTGATGTGGGGGTGACCAACGGCTTCATACACTACGTCGATGGGATCTTCGGTGTCCCCTACCGAGATGTACCTGGCATCATCTACTGTGAAGACTGGCTGATGTGAGTGAAGCTTTATATTGTTGGGAAGTGAGGTGAAATGGGGTTTAACGTCGCGTCCAAGATTATTGCTCTTATATAGCGACGTGCATGCACGTGTGTGTGTTTGTGTGGCTGCTTGTACTAGTCCATGCCCAAGGGATGCAACTCTACACAGTGACTTGCAGTTCCTTAGAGGTGAGGTGAAATGGGGTTTAACGTCGCGTCCAAGATTATTGCACTTATATAGCGACGTGCATGTACTGTGTGTGTGCGTGTGTGGCTGCTTGTACTAGTCCGGACTGATGATGATTTATAGTGCTAGTTCACTGAGATACCATGCCGCACTTTAACGTGAATATCCCACTCAGACACAGTATACTGACTCCGAGCCGACCAATCCTTGTTTTAGCCCCTTAATGCCGAGCGCCAGACAGGGTAACAACAAGTACCATCTTTTAATGTCTTTTGGTATGACGCGGCCGGGGATCGAACCCCGGACCTTCCGCTCTCCGGGCGGACGCTCTACCACTAGACCACGGAGGCTGTTCTATTGTGGGGAGGAATAATACACACATAACTGCAAAGATCATGCATAAATGCATAGACTTTTTTGTGGGTACAGTGTTCCATCACTACAATGCTACCTTTGGGGTCCAAATAATTATAGACGTTATAGACGATCAGCAATTTAACATAGGTGGAGTCTACATGATCTAGATGACTAACAGTAAATAATAAAATAATTGCAAACATAAGTGCAGATAAACGATAAACACCTTTTTATAACCAGATAGTGTAATAATGGGACTTCAGTTTGGATTTGTTGACTTGTACTTCTGGTGTAACGTGCTCGCTGTGATCAGCTGATAATGTTTTTGGAGATGGGGGGAAAACATCGTGTCATTGGAGTTTATCAAATATGAAAGTAAATTTTGGAAGCCATGCATTACCAAGCGCTATATTGAAAGGCACAATAGCGAGGGAAAACTGTATCTCATCAACTGTCTGTCCTAAATCACCACTCAAAAATCAAAGAAAATGTCTTAATATCCACTCATTTGCGACCAAATAAAACTAGCAAATCTCCATCTCAAAGAGAAATATTATTGTCAACATATTTGGAGACTGGAAATGGCCAGATTTATCTTGAGTTCAAAACTAAGAACCTTCGGCAAGCAAATTTGGGAAAACGTTTTCTTTATTTTGTTAAAAAAATTTAAAGTTCTTATTTTCTTGAATTCAGAGGTCTTTTAAAATTGTCTACTAACGTCACATTCAGTGAATCACAGTGATGTGATACAAAGCATTGGAGATTCTCCTTTCGGTTGGTTCTGAGAACAGTGAAGTACAAGTCAACCTGACCAAGCCATCACATCACAACTATGTCAACATGAATTGGGAACTTGTTAATTCCGATTTGGGAGTTTTTACGAATGTTTGCTGCAGGCCATCTTCCCGAGGCAAGAGAGTTAACTGATGTTAAAAGTCCAGTTTCCACCCTTGCCGAACTAGGCTGGAATTCCTGGGCTCTATCGTAGCGCCACCAGTGGCTATTACCAGTTATGTCCCTTCTAAGCCTCTCCTATGGACCAGTCCAATTCCATCACTTGCATTTGTTTCAAACAAAATGGCAGCGCCCAGTCAAGACGATCTGATCGATCATTAAGATCTATATCGTGATAAAAACAGATCTTACATCGCGAAGTACATCAAATCACGCAAGCACCTTGAATAAAAACATGAAAAGGTTTGGAAAATATCTGTTGACAACTAGTTGTCGGGGCAATTGCTTTGCAAATCCTGCACTCAACCGAAATCTGCACGACAGTTTACGAACCGGATTTTGATTTCGTTGCGCGATTTTGATTGGACTATGCATAGACTCGATAGTCCAGCCAAAATGTAACTCCATAATACCAGCCTAGTTTGGCAAGGATGGAAACTGGACTTTTATAGTCAGTTAACTCTCTTATCTCGGGAAGATGGCTGCAGGCATGGGGCCAAATATGCACCTCTGAGCAGCCCCAATAACTCCCCTAGTGGCTGCCTTTTGCTTTCTTTCTTTCTTTCATCTGTTATAAAACTCTCACCAAAAATAGAGAAACTATTGCACTTCAACTACAGCACAATAGCAATCAAACTGAACATTTGTAGCATGCACCTCAACCAAAAGCAGACTTTTTGCTTTATTAGTTTCCTTCTGTGAGCTAGCCTTCCAGTGTGCAACAGCTTCCCAAGGGAGGCTACTCTTATATCCCTGTAACCCACATCATGTGAAAATTCAATGGCTGTCAGTCCCCATGTCTGCCAGAAATAAGGTACACAATAGCAATCAAACTGAACATTTGTTGCTTGCATCTAAAAAACAGACAACTTATCTGTTGAATTCTCAAACAAAAGCAGACTTTTTACTTTATTAGTTTTCTTCTGTGAGTGCAACAACTTTCCAAGGGAGGCTACTCTTATATCCCTGTAACCCACATCAGGGTACTTACCCTGCATTGAACAGTAAAATGTGGCTTGGGCTGAAAATTCAATGGCTGTCAGTCCCTATGTCTGCCAGAAATAAGGTTTACCTTTTGATTTGTGTGCTTTGGCAGATCCCTTGTCACTCCCCACTGTATTCAATGGCCAAAAATAATAAAAATTCTTAGGTCAATTTTTGTAAATTCTGCAACCATATTTTGATGATTTTTCAAAATTTTGCTCACTTTTAAGCTTAGTTTTCGTGAATGTCGTAGGTTTGCATCTCTTTGAGTTGTGGCAGGTATTTTTATGATAAACGTATCCACGGCTAGAATAGCTTATTGAAATGAATCTGGAGATCACTAGTGTAAACATACAGGCATGCACTCTCTGTTAGTAGTAATACAAAGACAACTTCTCTTCAAAGAGAAATAAACATCTGTTTAAAACCAGCATTTAACTCCCATTTTAAAATTCTGCAGTCTATTTGATGAATTCTGCGGCAGATAAATGCAAACTTCCGCTAGAGTTTGCACATTCACTTTCTAACTTGATTCAGCATCCATCCTTAATCTCCCATAGATCACCAGGCAGGCAGGTTTTGTTTCCTATTTGTCGTGTATGTGGTGTAGTTGGAATGTCATTGACCCACCCACTCACTCACTCACTCACTCACTCACTCACTCACTCACTCACTCACTCACTCACTCACTCACTCACTCACTCACTCACTCAACCCCAACCTCCCTTCCAACCACTCACCCACACTTCCAGTTACCACTCACTCACCAACTCACTCACTCACCAACTCACTCACTCACTCACTCACTCACTCACCCACACTTCCACTCACTCACTCACTCACTCACTCACCCTCACTTCCAGTTACCACTCACTCACCAACTCACTCACTCACTCACCCACACTTCCACTCACTCACTCACTCACTCACTCACTCACTCACTCACTCACTCACTCACTCACTCACTCACTCCTACCTTGCAGAAAGGCGTCCTACATATTCAGCATCACGGGCCTGAACGACTACCTGAAGGACATCCGGATGAGCACCATGCCTGCTTGCAGCTACAACACCAAGAGGCGGGACTACAACTACGCCGACCCCAACCTCTTCAACAACAACCAAAATGTCTATGGCACCAACACCAACAGCAACTCCCAACCGTCACAGTCGCCGCCGATCAAACGCGGAGGATGCGGGGAAAGCAACACGCTCTGTCAGTTCACGGTCTTCGTCCCCAATGGAACCACTATAGACAACTTCGGAAACAGCTACTATGGGAGACAATTATTCCGGGACAACAACCGACTCCGATATGTAAGCCACTTTTAGTCACTTTTTGAAAGTTTCAGTCGTGTTTTGGAGTCAGATAAAAGAAAAAAAGTGTGACAAAAACATCCGTCTATTTACAATCTTTTTGTTCCGTACCAGTGGGTCTGTCAGAACTAACAATTGTTGCCAGTGAAATGTGTTTGAAAACTGCTTAACTGATTTTAACTCCAACACAGATGTAATCCACCATCTTGCTTTTTCAGAGCATACTCGCCCCTGTATTTGTTATGTTTCTAAATAAGGCAAAACTTGTTTTAATCAGACCCTAAGGAAAGTCATTGTGAAAAAACCCAAATCATTACTAGTACTGTATTCAACGTAATAAGCGCCCCCCGCTCTAATAAGCACCCACAATATATTTTTGTGAACAATATCAATTAGCATCCCTTCTGATTAAGCAATGTGCACAAGACTTATTTATTCATGTATAATACGCACTCGTGTGTTATATGCACCCTTAATTATGGGCAATTAAATTTTGGAAAAATATATTTGTCGTATAAAACATTTCAGGCTGTCAGCATAAATCACGAAATTTACGATCTTTCAGCTCTGTTTTTTCACGAAAATAATATTCTAATCAGAGACCCCTGTTTCTAATTTTGAGAGCACCCTGGGCACTTATTACGTCAAATACGGTATTTGTTATTTCTGTCATTAAATAGGACCTGGATGAGAATGTTTTAATTATAATTACCTGAGTGAAATACATCAAATACGGTATGTTTTGTCCTACTGAATGCATACTTCCATGTTCATCACAAAATTATTCAGAGATTATTGTACATGCATTTGTGTCGTACTGATTTTACAAAACCAGGGTCAAAATACCTGTATTCTCCAAGCAAGAGCAAGAATTCTTCGACGAGTTTCTGAAAATCAGTATGATGACACACATGCACATATAAGAATCTCTATGTATGCTGAATAGTTTTGTGGTGAACATGGAAGTGTAATAATTTCTGAAATACCCATTATTTGTAATCCTTTTGAGCTCCCCTTTAGAAAAATCGTGATTGTGATCTTCTTCTGAGAAAGCGACAATTGTCAAATAATGTTAACATTCTTTAGCAATGACATTATTTCTAGCGTATCTAGTTTGTCGTCCTTCTGATTCGGATGGCGTCAATTATTTTTATGAACTCGGTTATTCCTAACCCTATGGGTAATAAGAAAGGTTAGGATGCAAGACAGTGGGTTACAACAAACTTAACGTATCTAGTAAAAATGTTAAAAAATGTATGTAACGCCCTTTTACTTTTGAAATTTTACCCATACACTGAAAGTGACTAATAAATGTTGTCTTTAAAGTTACCTGCTTGCGTTCAGGCATTATAAATATTGAAAAATCACAAAAAAAATAAGAAACAAATCGCATCTTGATACAATTGAAATAATGCAAACAATTACTTGAGAATGTACAAGGAGTTAGAATAAAACAGAATATGTAAGTAGTCTTAAAATTATCTGCCAGACAGATGGGCAGGTGGAGGAACATTTCATGCAGCCTGACAGAAAATTACTAGCCACGGGCAGGTGGGCAGGCAGTTATTTCAGAAGTAAGACAAGTTCTAAGGATGAACAACTTCTTTATTACAATTAGTGCGACGTTTCGGTGTAGATCCTAACACCTTTAGCAAGCGACTTTTCAAAAGTAAAAGGACGTCACTTGCTTGATAAAGGTGTTAGGATCTACACCGAAACGTCACACTAATTGTAATAAGGTTGTTCATCCATAGAACTTGTCTTACTTCATCACACCAACTTCTAAATGCCACTTAAAGTAGTTATTTCAGACACTGATCTGGAGCAAAGAAAAAAACACATTTTTGTTGATTCCAGAGAAGTAAAAAAAAAAACAAGGACAAAACTCGTGCTATATTCTGATATTGGCTTTGTGTTCATTTGAAGGTATTACGGCGTCATATTGCGCTGAATCGTAAGATCTACGTGGACCAGCTGAGTCGAGGAACACACGTGTACACAGCAGACACAGGGGATGAGGTGCGCTTCAACAAGATAGATGACAAGAGTAAGTAGCATCCTCATCATCCAGGCCTTGTTCCTCCCTTCTACACCACTCACCTACTGATAGGAGACCGCCTCCGTGGTCTAGTGGTAGAGCGTCCGCCCGGAGAGCTGAAGGTGGGGTTCGATCCCCGGCCGCGTCATACCAAAAGACGTTAAAAGATGGTACTTGTTGTTACCCTATCTGGTGCTCGGCATCAAGGGGCTAAAACAAGGACTGGTCGGCTTGGAGTCAGTATACTGTGTCTGAGTAGGGTATTCATGTTAAACTGCGGCATGGTATCTCAGTGTGCTAGCACTATAAATCGGCATCAGTCAGGACTAGTACAAGCAGCCACACAAACACACACACGTACATGCACGTCGCTATATAAGTGCAATAATCTTGGACGCGACGTTAAACCCAATTTCACCTCACCTACTGCTGATAGGAATAATCAGACATGTCATTGCCCTGTGAACATCCGGGGTAGAATTGGTCTTCAGCCACCCATGCTTGCAGTAAAAGGTGGCTATGCTTGTCGTTAGAGGCGACTAATGGGATCGGGTGGTCAGGCTCGCTGACTTGGTTGATGCATGTCATTGTATCCGAACTCTGTGGATTGCTGCTCATGATGTCAATCACAGGACTGTCTGGTCCAGACTCGATTATTTTCAGACCGCCGTCATATATCTTGAATGTTGCTGAGTTAACCAATAAACAAAAACAATAGATATGTCATTCTATTTCAATATACACTTCACATATCATGAGAATCAGTTGGGTGTATCATGGAAAGTTAAAAACATCGATATTTGGCAGCTATTCCCCAGCAAAGTCAGTAAGATCTCCCAAACTGGAATTTAAAGAATCTCTGTTCTTGTTAATATAGTTACTATAGTTACTATGGCTTTGTAGAGTGTTGACAACACTCTAATAAAAAGAATTTAAAACAATGTGTTGTATTTGTGTTCTCACCTAAGGTGCTGCGATTCGATGTGCAGAGTTGCGTCCCTTTGGCACGCCAGAAACCTATGATTGTGGGTTCGAATCCTCGTTCGCCTTGATTATGTTTCTAGGTTTGTCAGCACCATACCCGTGCTCGTGGGTTTCACCGAAGTGGTAAATGTCTGCATCACTTGGGCTTTCCTCCCACATTAAGCTGACATGCCACAATATTATTGAAATACTGTTAAAAGCGGCATTAAGCCCAACTGACTCACTCACTCACTCATGGTAATACAGAACGAGTTCCAATAACATTTGTTTCAGGAATGTACCATTTGACAGATATTGATTTATATTCTTTGTCTTTTGCAGATACAGAAGTATATTTCCAGAATACCCGGGCTCGAATCATTCACTCCGACCTGGGCGCAACTAACGGGGTCATTCACATCGTTGATGACTTCCTGTTTGTTAACGAAGACATGACCAGAGACATTTCAGGTAGTCCCAAGATGGCTGCCACAAAAACGACTACTTTTATCAGTTTAATGGTCTTGTTTTATTCTTTATTTTCTTGTGCAACGTGAATCTGAATTTTTTATAATTATTCTGTTGGTGCCATGTGTTTAATGAATTGAAAGATGCTAGATATTTAATGATCTCATGATGTTTTCTCAGAGAGCTTTTAATTTCCTTCATAATTTCATTGATCACTTTGTATTTTAATTGTACCAATATCAACATGTTTTTTATCACCTTTGTACAAATGATGTATAATGCAGTGTTGTAACCGTTGTGTGTTTATATTGTTAATACTGTTTAATCATGTAAATATGATCTTTTTTCTACTTTCATATGTACATTTCTTCATATTCATCCGATCTTTCATTAATTCCTCCCTTCTTTCCTTCTGCTGCTGTTGTGTTGATTTCCTCATGTGTATAACATGTACATATTTTTCTGTTACAAGTTCTGTGTTTCTTGTGTTAATGTTTGCATAAACCCCCAATAATGAGGTATTGTCCACTAGCAGACTACTGTTTCCTGATTGGCTGATAATAAAAGGGGCGGGGCTTGTGTCGCATGGCTCTGAACGATGTCAGTTATTTCACAGGGATAATTCTAGGGTGGGACATTGTGATTTAGCCCCTAAATTTGAAAAAAAGGCCCACATTTTCAAAATATAATGGGGCAAGTAACATTGTATTGTATGGGCTTACCCCTGGAGTACTTAAAATTTTCACAAAGATAGGGTTGTAAGATTGCAATATGTATATCAGTATAATTAGTGAGATCCAACCATTGTCATCATACCGTATATCATGTGTATAAGGCAAGTTTTTCGTACCTAGAATTAGGGGGCTTTCAAGGGGGGTTGACTTTTTTCACAGGGTTGAAGAGTTTTGATGATTTTTTCCCCAACACAAAGACATTACTGTGAACATGTAACACTGGAAATACCATATCAACAAATCCGTACAGGAGTACGCAAAGTAATCATGTAATTACACTCCCTGGTTATAAAAAGAGTTTATTATATATCTGGACTCATGTTTGTAACTTATTTTTAAAATTTTATTCAAAATTTCATTCAATATTGTTTACATTCATTTCGGCGAAATCGTATGTCAAGTGATCGGAAGTCACACAACTCACAATTATTTACAGCAACCGTGGTCAGATAACCGGTATTGACGCCTTGAAACAAATTTTTGTGGATAGAGAATGGCTATATATATAATAAATGCCATACATTGACTCGCTGAAAGTCATATTTGTTGTAGTTTGACTATTATACGTCAACATGTAATTTTCGCTATCATGAGCGTGGGAGTCATCTGATCAAACAATTACCGTATTAGACGTAATAAGCGCCCAGGGCGCTCTCAAAATTAGAAATAAGGGGCTCTTATTAGAATATTATTTTGGTGAAAAAAAAACAGTTGAAAGATAAATTTCGTGGTTTATGGTGACAGCCTAAAATGTTTATCTACGGCAGATATATTTTTCCAGAATTTAATTGCCCATAATTAAGGGTGCATATAACACACGAGTGTGCATATACGCAAATAAATAAGTCTTGTGTACATTGATCAATCGGAAGGGGTGCTAATTAGGACTGTTTACTAGCCAATATATCAGCAAATATCGCCGTGGGCGCTTATTAGAGCGGGGCACTTATTACGTCGAATACCGTACTTCTCAACTCTTGTACGCCATTCTAAACCTTCACTATATTTCTAGGACCGCCTCCGTGGTCTAGTGGTAGAGTGTCTGACGGAGAGCGGAAGGTCGGAGATTCAATTCCCGGCTGTGTCATACCAAAAGACGTTAAAAGATGGTACTTGTTGTTACCCTGCCTGGCGCTTGGCATTAAAGGGTTAAAACAAGGACTGGTCGGCTCGGAGTCAGTATACTGTGTCTGAGTGGGGTATTCATGTTAAACTAGGCATGGTACCTCAGTGGGCTAGCACTATAAAATCGGCCTCATTCCGGACCAGTACAAGCAGCCACACAAACACACACATGCATGCACATCGCTATATATGTGCGATAGTCTTGCAAGCAATGTTATACCCCATTTCACCTCACCTCACCTATATTTCTATCATTTTAGATATACATGTACACAACCCATAAAGATCCGGGTTAAATTAGGTCTTCAGCAACCCATCCTTGCCGTGAAAGGTGAATATGCTTGTCAAAAGAGGCGACTAAAGGGATCGGGTGGTCAGGCTCGCTGACTTAGTTGATGCTTGTTATTGTATCCCAATTGAATTGATCGATGCTCATGATGTCAATCACTGGATAATGCTGAGTGCAGATATATTCATTATTATATCCCCTTGGTATGTAGTGTGTCAAGCATAAGCATCTCCCAACAAGCATCAATAGGTCTTAAGGGGCGGTCAGGTAGCCTAGTGGTTGAAGCGTTTGCTCGTCATGCCGAAGACCCGGGTTCGATTCCCGACATGGGTACAATGTGTGAAGCCCATTTCTGGTGTCCCCCATCGTGATATTGCTAGAATATTGCTAAAAGCGGCATAAAGCCTTACTCACTGACACTGCCAATAGGCCTGAGTAGGTTGACAATGTGATTAACAGTTGAAAAACATGTTGTTTATGCCTGTGTCAAACTGATTAGGTCAGTGTTCGAAATACCTGCCTGCCCGACCATCCGAGACGGGTTGATTTCAACTCGGGCTGCCAGATTTTCAAATCCCCCTGCCCGACGGTCGGGTTATATTTCATATGTGAAAATATTCTAAATATTTCCCGATGATAAGCATTAATTCACATGTAAAAATGAATGATAAAATGTAACCAAAAAGAAACCCCGTTAGCTTATCCTGAGAAACATATGATTATAGTAGGCAGGCAGGTTTTGGTCAGGGCTGGCAAGTATTTCAGCTAGCCAGTCCTGTGGTTTTTGGGAGTTTCATACCCTGATTAGATGCTTTTATGAAACTGAAAAAATGGACAAGACTATAAAAACTGATAGAGCGCAAGATTGAAGGTGATGGGGAAAAGCTACCCAAAGCACAACCAGTAGTTTAGCCCCTGCAGCAACACACGGCAAGGAACAGTCAGTGTGGGTTGAAAATGCGACATTTCAGGTACATCGGAACTGCACTCTTGGAAGTTGAAAATGTGACATTTTTTTAAATACTTTTATCTCTCCTTATCTGCTTGACCCCTCAGTAATGAGGGTATAGATCCATGGCTGCTGACATGAGGCTTGTCCAGTGTTGCCATGCACCTGTAATATTTGTGTATATCTCCCCAGAGAGATATACATGTTACAGGGACATCATCAAATACCACAATATAAAGGCCTTCTATATTTTATTGGTTGGTTGATAAACATTGGCCTCAAATTCAATGTAGATGGTGGGGGTAGGTATGGAAGCCTTTTAGGGACATTTATTTATTTATTTATTTATTGAGATTTCAAGAACAAAATTAAAAAAACCAAATGGCCCTTAAAGGTTTCCGTAGGTAGGGGAATTCAACTTATTATTTAAAAGATTAGTACTGCTACTAATGAATGAAAAACAAAAACCTAGTGTGTTTTTTATATTGCCACATTGTAAAATTGAATTGATGAAAGAAATTATTTTGCCAAAAGTATTATTTTTTCCCTTCAATTGTTTCCTTTATTTATTGTCAGTGTGGAACCGATTAGCATGAACACAAATGCCTAAGATAAGAGCTTTTAACTAATGGTTCAAAGGGAGTTGGGTGGTCTAGTGGTTAAGCGTTCGCTCATTGGGCAGAAACCCGGGTTTGATTCCCCACTACAATGTGTAAAGCCCATTTATGGTGTTCTCCAATGTGATGTTGCTGAAATATTGCTCACTCACTAACGGTCAAAGGCTGCTTGTTTTTAGCCTGTGTACAGCTATCATGTTTATTGAATCTCTCATCATTGTGTTTATTCTGTGTATTATCATTGGCTTGTCAGCACCATGCTTATGAGATTCACCAAAGTGGGAAGTCTTTATTACATCGACCGCCTCCATTGTGTCTGAGTAGGTCGATGCTCATAATGTCAGACCCGTGAAGATCCGGGGTAGAATAGGTCTTCAGCAACCCATGCTTGCCGTAAAAGGTGACTATGCTTGTCTAAGAGGTGACTAATGGGATCGGGTGGTCAGGCTCGCTGACTTGGTTGACGCATGTCATCAATCCCAATTTAGTGGATCGATGCTCATGATATCAATCACTGGATTATGGAGTGTGGCACTAAACAACAAACAAACAAACAGATAAACTCATTATTATATCCCCTTGGTATGTAGTGTGTCAAGCATAAACATCTTCCAAGGAGCATCAATAGCTCTGAGTATGTTGACAATGTGATAAACAGTTGAAAAACATGTTTATGCCGATGTCACACTGATTGGATGCTTCTGTCTGGTCCAGACCTGATTATTTACAGACCACCGTCATATAGCTGGAATATTGCCGAGTGCAGTGTAAAACAACAAACAAACCAAACCAACCAACCAACCAACTGAGATTGGATGGTCAGGCTTGCTGACTTGGTTGATGCATGTCATCGATCCCTATTTCTTGGATCTATGCTCATGATGTCAATCACTGGATTGTCTGCTCCAGACTCCATTATTTTCAGACCACCGTCATATTGCTGGAATAATGCTGAGTGCTGCGTAAAACAACAAACCAACCAAACCAACCAACCAACTGAGATCGGGTGGTCCGACTCGCTGACTTGGTTGATGCATGTCATCGATCCCAATTGCGTGGATCGATGCTCATGTTGTCAATCACTGGATTGTCTGGTCCAGACTCGATTATTTCCTCGTTTCCGGAGCAGATCTTGAAAAACGTACTATATTTCTTTACAAAAAGGCCCAGTGAACATAGTGCACAGGAGCTTATGCATTGCACACACCCGACATGTCATATTGGCGGGGGATGTGAGTATTTCATGCTTGTTGTAGCATTGATATAGTTACTTTTTATTTGCTTATCTCCTTGTAATCAAAAGTAAATGTTGTAGATATTATTAACATCGCATTGTCAGTATTAGGATCTTGAATTACCCTTTGTGAGATTATTCTCTGTGTGATTTCCCAAACAATATGTATGTGTATTTCCGGTTTCCCTGTTTCAATATCTTCACCATGGCAACACTAAATCAATCAGGATGACCTCTTAGTCATGAGGGGCGGTCGGGTAGCCTAGTGGTTAAAGCGTTCGCTCGTCATGCCCGGGTTCGATTCCAGACATGGGTACAATGTGTGAAGCCCATTTCTGGTTTTTCCCAGACGGAATTGCTGCTAAAAGCGGCATAAGACCATACTCACTCACCCACACTTGTGGATGAGGCTTTTCCAGTGGTCAGTTTTGATAACACTGTTTTGGAATACAATTGGAGCATTTCTGACTAAATTTGAAACCAGGATTTTAATAACATTCAGACCCATTAAAGTTCAGGGTTAGAATAGGGTCTACAGATACCTATGCTTGTCGTCAGAGGTAACTTATAAATGGGATCAGGGGGTCAGGCCTGCTGACTTGATTGATGCATGTCATCGTATCCCAACTCCTCATGATATCAATCACT